GTACATCACTGTCATAACAGTGTTTGTTTTCATTCAAAGGCTTTACGATTATTCCTGTAATGGTGGGCCGGTCTCTAGTCAAAACGCCCGGGACGATTTTTTGTCCCAGTCCAGCCCTGTATGCAGCTCATCTGCAGTCTGGTGTTACCTACATCTTCCTATTCGGAGGGCAGAATTTCCGAGTTCTGAGTACAATCGAAAGCACCACGACTACAGTTTTCGTGTTGGATGTAAAAAGCGTACATGACGCTGTGACGTAGGCTAGAATCATGGCGGCGGTCAACGACGGTCTAGGCGTGGGATTTCTCTCATGGAAATATGGACATTATTTTTTCCTTTCTATTGGTAGGTGGCACAGTGCACTTGTGGCAAGTAAGCAAGCTAGAAGACTGGCAATCTTGCTGGGTATCCAATTACGGAAGCAACACATTAACAAGAGAATTCTGAGTAAAACCAAAGTTACTTTCCCTAGTAACTAGTTACTTTGAAAGTAGCGAGTAACTTGAAGTAACTGAGTTACTTTTGACAGAAGTAACTAGTAATGTAATTAAGTTACTAATTTAAAGTAACTTACCCAACACTGCACATATTTGGACGCCAGGTCCTAGGAGGTTAGCATAATACAAAATATGCACTGTTATGACTGTTATTTCGTCTTCTCATCATCATTATTATCATTAAAAAATATATATAAACATTTATACTTTATGTATTATTTATATTTTAAAAAAGAAACAACTTGTGTCCATAACTATGTTTTGTTTGTTTGTTCATGTTTTTAATTGGTGTTTTTAGTATTATTTTTCATAAACACAATAAAAAAAATCTAAAGTCCTGGGAGTTTGAGGGTTTGGTGCAGTATCTTAGCTGTTACGAGGCCTGTGCTCTTCTGGACAGAGACCTCTGATCCTATTTGGACTTTACCTTCCACATCTGCTCCAGTTGTTCCTTCTGCCCCTGGTACTTTCTCTCTCTCTCTCCGTGGCAACAATTTTTTTTCAGTGTATTATGAATACACGGAAGTGTATATGTATAAGTGTAATGTTCTCCTATTTGAAGTTGTGTATAATCCATATTATTGGTAGGTATAGCATATGAGATATATTGTTTATCATGGTATGCTACTTTCACTTTAAATGAGTGATCACTGTCTATGTTACACCTGCACAGTGAGCAGCAGTCTGCTACAGGTCTGTCATAAAAGACAGTGACAGAAATGCGCAATGTTACTCATGTAAACAGAACATTAGAAACAAATCTAAAAATAATCTTGGTCAGATTATGAGATAGTGGGCACAACCTTGTGCACAGCCACCATGTCTTTTACACAGAAGAAGAGAGACAGCCAGACTGAAAGATACTCTTTGTGGTCATCTTTTTTTTTTTTCATTTGGTTGTGCCTTTTTGGAGTCATTGTGTAGCTTGAGTCTATGCAACCAGTTTGTATCTATTCATGTACATTGATGTGCAGCTTTAATCAGAGGTTAAAAATAGATCAGTGAAAAAGAACAAGAACATCCTCGAAAGAGTGTCCTTTATCCTTAAGATGCAGATGGACTGCTGAGTCTTGTCCTGTGGACCCATAGTCAGTAGCATAAACTCAGCCACTTATAACATTGCTAAACACCTTGCTACCATCCTTGCTCCTCTCGTGGGGAAAACCCCACACCACATCAAGAACTCCACCGACTTCACCGACAAGGTCCAGAAACTTACCCTGGATCCAGATGAAACCATGGTGTCCTTTGATGTAGTCTCTCTCTTCACTTGCATACCCACCACGGAGGCTGTGGAGACTGTCAGAAAACGACTACAAGAAGACAGCTCCTTGGAGGACAGGACCAACTTCACACCCGATCAGATTTGCACACTGTTAGACCTCTGCCTCACCACTACATATTTCAAATACAACGAAGGCTTTTGCAGACAAAAACATGGCTGTGCCATGGGCTCCCCCGTGTCACCTATTGTAGCCAACCTTTACATGGAAGAAGTGGAAAGGAAGGCTCTTGGCTCTTTCAAAGGAAGAGTACCCAGCCACTGGTACAGATATGTAGATGACACCTGGGTCCTTCACTGCCCCCGTTAACGCTGTGGATAAAAACATCAGGTTCACCAGGGAAGACGCAAAGGACGACTGTTTGCCTTTCCTGGACTGCCCTGTGCACATTGAAGAGAATGGCAACCTCAACATCGAAGTTTACCGGAAGCCCACACACACGGACCAGTACCTCCTCTTTGACTCCCATCACCCTCTGGAACACAAACTTGGAGTAATTAGGACCCTACACCACCGGGCAGAACATGTTCCCTCTAAGCCTGAAGGAAAAAAGAAGGAACACACACATGTAAAGGAAGCACTCAAAACGTGCGGCTATCCTAAATGGGCGTTCTTAAAGTCAGCAAAGAGGCACAGAAAAGAAGATCAGACACCAGCGAGGGAGGATAAGAAGGACAGACGCAACAACATTGTCATCCCCTATGTAGCCGGTGTATCAGAAAAACTCAGGAGAGTTTTCTCCAAGCACGACATTTCAGACCCAGCAACACACAGACAAAAACTGGTTCACCCGAAAGACAAAACACAAACAGAGAGGACAGATGGTTTGAAAGAGGAGTGAAAGAAGCCATCTATGTCCACTGTGAGCGACCATCTTTGAACAGAGGCGGGGGTTTACGACACCAACTCTCTGCCATCTATAATCCAGTTTTGAGATCCCTTCCCAGACGCCTTAACGCCCACTCACATCCTGGGCCATCTGATCTCAGGAATTCGCATGATAAGGTGGGGCCAGGTTTCACAATGAACTCACCCGAAACTCTGGCTGATTGGGACCCACACCCAGTTTCACACCTTGGCTCAGGCGATTAGAGGATCATCAGGGGGTCCTTTTGTCCCTCTGTGGGGGGATACTCCCACTATGTTTATATCTGGGACTCTCCATCATTTGACCTTAGAACTGAAGAAGCTTCTCGGATGAGAGGTGAAACGTCTTCAAGCAACTTAAAGAAGTCCAGACGCTTTTCTTTGCAAGCTCCTTTGACAACAAGAACAGTGAACATTAATAAATGTGATGCCCATGTACTCACCAAGTAATTCTGACCAACTTGTTTTTCTTTGCTGTAAGTCCCAGAAAGCTGTCAGTGATGCTGAGGAGAGCGACGCTCTTCATCAGCCGCAGTCTTCCATATGAGGACATCATCACTTTACAGGCTGTGTGTGTTTATGAAGCTGCTTGGAGACCAAAAACATGTTTATGTGACCGACAAAGAGAGGTTTGTTGCTGCTGCTCCTGGGCAGTGTTGTGTAGATAATAAAGTTTGTTCAGTCACTACGTGAGTGTGTGTGTGCATGTGTGATCTCAGGTTTCATGGCTTTTACTTAAATTACACAGTGTAGCATGCTTGTGTAACACACAGACACACACACAATGGGTCAATTCAGCAGACTGGGACCACACCCAGAATATTCTCAACACCGACTTTACTAATTTTAACCAAGTCTTGCTAATCAGGTCATGATCCCAGACTACAGCTCATTCACCAAAAACAGCCTCCTACAGCAGAGCAGTATCAGTTACCATCAATGAACTGAGCAAAGATGTATCAGAGTGAACTTCCAGAAGAATCGTTTTAAAACACGTTTTTGAAGGAAAGTCAACACTGCTCAACATTAAAAATGGAATTGAATTTGGATCATTCAAAAATAACTGTCCAAATAAGTGCCCGTATTTGTTTCAAGATGGCTGTTGATTCATTGCGTCCAGATGAAGTGGTTTGATCAGATTGAAATGGATCTCCTGATTATCTGCTATACACTTCTAAAATAAATTAAATATGAATCCCTGAGTAATTTGACAAGATTTGCAATAACACAATAGAACTTGTACGGCTTTCTTGAGAATAGAGAATAGAGGTACTTGATTTATTTATTTTGTTTCACACGTGGTACAGCAGTAAAGAGAAATAAGAGAAAGAGTATTAAAAAGCATATCAGGGTGTCAAACTCCAGTCCTCGAGTGCCAGCGTCCTGAAACCTTTCCATCTGTCCCTGCTGCGACACACCTGAATAAAATTAGTAGGTCATTAGGAAGACTACAGAACTTGACTGCATGTTGAGGTGACATGCACTCCCTAATCCTACTCAAGTAAATTTAAATAAATGTAAGTGTTTGCAACAATGTACTTACAAATTACTTTTATTACTCCATGTTCATTCACTGATGAGCTGCTGTAACATGAATCAAATGGCTGAATTGTCACCTCAGCATGCAGTCAAGTTCAAAAGTCTTGCTAATGATTTACTAAATTTATTCAGGTGTGTTGCAGGTGTGTGACCACATGTAAAGGTTTCAGGACACCGGCCCTTGGAGACTGGAGTTTGACACCGGTGGCATAGATATACAGGGACCCAAGTGAAGGATGCCATTGTTAGGGGTAGAACAAACTATTCTTATGGCTGTTAGAGCCACCTCTGTTGGGATAAAACATGTGCACAGGTAATGGTAAATGATTAAAAACGGTAGAATAATGCTAAATATTTAAGAAATGCTGCATGAATCTGTGGAGCTGCTCAGTAGTGATGGGCAGATGAAGCCCCATGAAGCACTGAAGCTTTTCATCCAATTGGTTCACCCCAACGCGAAGCTTCATGAAGCTTCATTTGCTCTAGCAGGACACCTACTGGACGTAAAAATAATAGCTGGCATGAATTTGAAGAGTGTGGCATTTTGCACACAGCCTGTAAATGTCAACAACAAAAGGAGTGTGTAAAACACCTATAGTGTAGTGATGGCAGTATACTGTGTATATTTATGCTGGCAGTATGGAAAATGATTATTTGCGGCAAAGTTCGAACCGCTTCATGAACCAGTCACGTGGTACAGCCGGGCAGCGAGGCTTCGGACGTCATCATTTTCAGCTCCTCCCATAAATGAAGCAAGCCTCGATACGCGCTTCGCGGAAACGCCCCCTCCATTACTCGACACACGCTCCGAAGCCTCGATACAGAACGTCCCATCACTACTGCTTAGCCAACGCGTGGCTGCCATCTAGTGGTAAGGCTCTTATTGTGAAGGTGAGAGCTGTCCGGAAGCCACGGCCTCATTGTGAACGCGGCCAACAGCTTCAAACGGATCCATCATGGCGGAGAAAGAGAGTGAAATTTCCCGCAGCTTTCCCCAGACTCAGAACAAGTGGAACCAGCCAGTTCTGGAGAGACTGCAGCAGGGTCGCGGAAGAGGACGGCCAGGTCCCAGGCGACCGAGCAGAAGACAGACCGGCGGCCGTAGGTGGCCGACTTCAGAGTCCCCAAACCAGAGGCAGTGTGGCGGGAACGAGCCCCGGTAAATACCCCCCCGTTAAGTTAATGTATTACTGAATTAAAATTTTGATTAAAAATGATTATGATTATTTTTCTCGTCATTTTTAAGTAGATGTCGAGAAGCACCGACAGACAACAAAAAAGCAGAATTTCCCAAAGTGAACTTGGTGGAAAGGTAAGCTAACCAGTGTTGGACAAGTTATTTTGAAAAAGTAGTTATATTTACTTTCATTTCACCTTTAGAAACTATTTATCTTGTCTTGTTTGGTATCGTTCTTTTCAGGACAAACGCACATATCTGAATTTACAGTTAGTTTTTCATTTTGACATACTGTATTAACACAATTTGGTCCAGTCAGACTAACACACAAAATCAGAATAGAGAAAATTTATTTTTACTGTAACAACCACAAACATGTTTTAAGAGTCAATAAGATGCCACAGAAATTATTTGAGTCACTCCAAAAAATAATTTCTGTCCACTATAAGATAGAGGAGCACTTGACAGCAGGTGGTGTATCATTCGTACTGTTTCCCACCTTGAGCCAGCGTTTACACCAGGGGTGGGCGATAAACAAACAAGAGAGACAGGACTTGCGTCAGAAAAGCCGATCAGCTGATCATTGATCAGTTTCATGATTGAAGTAGAAACAGGAGAGGGAGGGGAGAGAATGAGAGAAGACGAAGCAGCATAAAGACACAGAATAACTCCAGCTTTGTCTTTTTTCATTCTAGCTGAAGTCCGGGACAAACTGTATTCCTTTACTCAATATGAAACGCGTAATATTTTCTCTGAATACGAGACAATTCCATTTTTTACGGGACAGTTGGAAACTCTACTAACTAACCTTATGAATAAAATAAAGTTCGCACAACGAAAATAAACTCCACCTAAACTTGTTTTATATCTGACCCAGATAGTCTGCAGTCATAACTTCTTACCTGAAATTCAGTTCACCTGACACTGGGACCGGCGGGCGCCTCGGGTCTCTCCTCCTCCTGCCTCCCCTTTCCCTCATCCACCTGCTGGCCTCTGTGGAAGCTCCGCCATAGCCACCACCAAACAACTGAGTTATTTTTACACATCGACCAGCATCTGGCCAATCCACCACCTTTCAGTGTTTATACTGTTACAAAAAAAATAAAAAATCATCGGCCCATAAAAACGAAAAATCACCATCGGCCTGATGGCCAGTCCAGCTATGGTCGTGTCATCAGTTAACCCTTCGCGTGCCAGCTGTGGCACGTGTGCCTAGGGTTGCCGACCCCTGGTTTACACTGTAATCTGTCTTGGTGGCTTTTTGGCAGCAACAGTGACGTTCAACAGTCACCTCATTGTTCTGACACACAAAACAAAATGATTGTCTTCACAACCCACTAACTACACACTCCGAAGATGCTAAGTGTCACAAATCTCTCACATCTCAAAACACACTCTCTCGCTTTCTTTGTCTTTTCCTTTTTTTTTTTTTTTTGGTTGCAAGATTTCTTGCAAGCGCTTTTTTTAGAAAACAGTTTTTCCCTTTTTTTCAGTAGACATAACCATAATATTCAGGAAAAAACATCACAAATATTTTATTTTAATCATAACTCTTTTTTTTTTTTTTTTTCCCAACACAATTTAAAAACTGGAATGTTGTTTAAAGTCCCCACTTTTAACACAAAAAGACACTCAGGGTTGTCTTGGGTTGACATAGCATCTTGTTGCTATGTCATCCTAAATTGGTCGTGTGATTGGTTTACCATGACTACTTTATTCCTTCTCAGCCAATCAGCAGCACTTGTGTGCTGCCAGGAAGCTGTCTTCAGCTCCTAGTTAGCTGAAGACAGCTTCAATAGTCTGTGTGTTGAAAAATAGTAACTCGTCTGCATCACATTTTCTTGTTAGTAACAGTAACTTCATTGTAAGTTGCTGTGGCGACCGTGGCTCAGGGGGTTGGGAAGCGTATCTGTAACCGGAAGGTCGCCGGTTCGATCCCTGGGCTCTCTGTCCTGGTCGTTGTGTCCTTGGGCAAGACACTTTACCCTACCGCCTACTGGTGTTGGCCAGAGGGGCCGATGGCGCGAAATGGCAGCCTCGCTTCTGTCAGTCTGCCCCAGGGCAGCTGTGGCTACAACCGTAGCTTGCCTCCACCAGTGTATGAATGCGAGAGTGAATGAATAGTGGCATTGTAAAGCGCTTTGGGTGCCTTGAAAAGCGCTATATAAATCCAATCCATTATTATTATTATTATTATTATTATTATTATTATTATTATTATTATAACAATAGAAATAGTAATTAGTTAAATTACTAGTTTCTGAAAAAAGTAACGCTGTTAGTAACGCCGCTACTGTTAATGCCGTTATTCCTATCACTGAAGTTAACATTGACTCTAATGGCAATAATGGAATCAATACTGTAGATATTTGGATCAATCTGCCCACTCCCAGGCCGCACAAAGCCCAGGATAACATAACTGAGGATATTTGGACTGTGAATCATGCAAAATCATGCACAGTAGGGCTCCTTTAAAAGGTACAGGTAAATTTTTGCGACCGGCACAAAAATCCTAAATTTCTGTGACCTCACCGTGTTTTCTGCTCATCTTTTCTCCAGGATGCCGTCTGAGATTCTGCACAAGATTCTGTCGTACCTGGACGTGTCCTCGCTGTTCTGCATCAGCCACGTCAGCAAGCTCTTCTACCAGCTCACCAATGACGAGTAAGACGAAGCACACCTGCACAGCCTTGCATCAGATGGGCTCAGCAGTATATCCTGAATTTTACGCGCCCGGATTTCCAGCAGTGCCTGCATCTCAGTTTAGTTTTCATTAAATGTGGACTGTGTTAAATATGCAGGGCTCTATGAAGCAGCTGAAAGTGCTTAATACTTTTTAAAAATGTAAATGCAACAAACAGACCTGTGATTGTTTTCTGTCCTAAAAAATTGGGAGGACGTTTTAAATTCACAACATCAAAACCTGCCGAGCTGCAACATGAACACAGCCTAGAAACACTTGGAGTAATACACCCTTGCAGCCAGCAGGTGGAAGGATTCATCTACCCACCAGGTGGTGAGATTAGAAGCTCCTGCACAAACAGCAGAAACATGCAAAAGAAACATTTTTCTCTCCAGCGTCTTGTGGTACAGGATCTACATGTCAGAGTTTGGGTGGAAGCCAAAAGCGGCGGGCAACGTGGCGGTGAAGATGGAGCCAGCGGAGGATCGATCGACGAGCTGCTGGAAGTGGATGTACTTCAGGATGATAACTGGGCGAGAGATGATCAAGTGGAGAGGAGAGCTGAGAGACATCGGCCCATTCACCGGCCTGCCCCAGCAGACTGAGTGGGTGCTCAGGTACAAGCCGCTACCTCTTCAGGTTATTCCAAAAGTGTTTCTGTTTCTTTATTTCAGGCTCGATTAGTCGGTTTCATGAGTTTGTGACCCATAACTGGATAAATGGTTGTTTAAGTCACTAAAATGGTTCCTGGTTGAACTCCGGGGCGGCCCGTGTTTCCTGTATGTGTAATAAAGATTTATTCACTGGATTTTTGCAGGAACCTGAATGTGAGCTGGGAGCTGATGCTGCACACTCACTGGGGTCAGGTGGTCGTGCTGGAGCAGACCCGAGGGCACTACTTCGAGTCCTCCATGATTGTCCACTGGAGCGGAGGCCGCCTTCCATCCTACCAAGACATCAACAGCATCCAGCTCTACGGAGTCAGGAAGGAGAAGTAAGACGGCCACAGAGCTGTATCTCTGTGTTATTCTCTATATTTAAGAATAATAATAAGACAAAACTGGAACCCAGGGCCGCTTTATACAAAAAGTCAAAGGTGTCAGTGAGCAGGCAGCATTCAAGAGCACTGAAGGCTGTCTCTGAAAGACTGCAGTCTGAGGGTTGAATAGTAAGTTTTTATCTGTGGAAGGTAGAATCTGAGATGGGATGTAAGAGAAGATCAGATAAATCCTGGGAGGCAAGAGCATGGAGGGATTTATAGGTGAGGAGAAGGATTTTAACCCTTTAAGACCTACCATAGAACCAAGTCCGCCAGAGCTTATATTATATTTTTACATGCTGTGGAGCCATTTCTGGGAGCATTTCAAGTTGCTATACATCAATACAACCATTATAGCCCAACTTTTAATAATATGTATGCATTAAGTCCATAGTAACTACATAAATTGCAAAAAAAGTGCAATAAACTACAAAAAATGTGAAAATTGTTGTTTTGTGTTTTTTAAACACATTTTCTACTCTAAATTTAAGAGGTTTATCCCTCAAAATTTTAAATACAAAAAAGTTGCAAAAAATAGTTTACAACAGGAAACTTATTTTGAGTGCTTTCATAGTTTTATTTTTGAGATGCACCAATTTTTATATACTGCAGAAAAAACAAAAACCAATCCTATAATGCAAATTTGCAGAGAAAACAGCATGTGCATAAAAATAAAATATTTAAAGCAGTGCAATTCGAGTTCTAAGCATCCTAGAAACTATTCAGAAAAGCATAAAGTCAAACATGACTTTTAAAAACACCAGTAAAGGCTTTTAAGGCCTACAAGTAAAAAAACTACATTTTCCACGAAAATGACGTCACTTCCGGTTTCGGGGAGGTAATGGCGGACATGCGATAGTTCGCACTGACGTCTATTTCAATGGAGGAAGTGTTCTGAACAGCTAATCGGATCAGCAAAGCCCGTTTCTGGAATATTATGTTTTTGTTCCTGCAAGCGCTTTTTATGCAATTTTTGCAAAGCTTTATGTGGAAGGAAACCATGGCCTAGCACAAGCTGATGGCATAAGATGTAAGTACAACTCATCTGGTTTCATATGCAAAAAAAATTATTGCGCTAGCTTACGTGGTTCCGGTTCTACCGGGATTTAAAAATTGTTACGCAAAACGGAGCGTGCCTGCTCTGACCGGCTTTAAAGGGTTAAAGGAAATTTGGGAGTTTAATGACAGTAGGGCTGCCACAAACGATTATTGTGATAGTCAACTAATCAGATCATGCATCCATTGGACTTAAAACGTACAGCTCATTGCACCAGCATGCATCTGCTGTTATAACTATCATTAGCTTACAGCTTTAGGTGTTTAAGGTATGTGCTAACTTTAAAAAAAAAGACAATATGATCGTTTATTAAACTTTTAATGAATTTTGCAGATTGTCTCGGTAGAGTTTTAAAGTCAGCCGTCTGCTTCTTGCCCCCTCAAATATAACAGGACACCGGAGTAAATTCGCTACCATCTCACACTTCTGTTTAATCTGTGTTCTGTTTGATTCAGCTATGTGAAAACTATAACTTTATTCTCACCAGACCAATTTACTCAGGAACAAATAAAACACTGGAAAAAAAAGCCATACAATAACATTTTTGTGACTTGTATATCATGTTTAACCTGAGTAGTGAAAGACCGCGGGGGGTTTGAAAACGATGTGCCGGGAGTCCGCTGTTCTCGTCAGCGAAGGCATGTAAGACCTCAAAGCAAAGTCCTGAGCTAAGTGCAGCATGTGGAGGGCTTTGATAGGCAGAGCACTCCAGGCTGGAGGTGATGAAGGTGTGATTGAGGGTTTCGTGCCTGAGAGGACGAGCAGAGTCTGGAGATGCTCTGTAGTTGCTAGCAGGAAGTTCTAGACATGAATTTAATGAGGTTCAGACAAACAGGGTTGTGGACCTCTGGTGATGGTTAGATGGAGTATCCACCCATATTAAGGAGCCGATCGACCATGTTCCAGAGTAACGACGCACCATCATTGACCTTTAAAACTGCAACAGTGAGCTGACGTCGTCAACTGATCACAAAAAGTGAAAACTGATACTAAACACCTTCATGGAAAGAATGCTCTGTTAATGTTAAATGCTTTTACTTTTATTTAACTGACTTCATTTTATTTTGTGTGTGTGTGTGTGTGTGTGTGTGTGTGTGTGTGTGTGTGTGTAAAAATATCTGGTAGTATGAAGCCCTCACTCTGGGCCTTTAATACTTTTATGTCATTTATCAAATTCATTCATCCTTTTGAATTCTGTCAGTAATTAAATTTGATGGTCAGGTGTGCTCTCCTCCTCCTCCAGGCTGGCCTGGCGCTCTCTGATTTTAAACCTGGATATGAGGACCCATCCGTATGAGCTCACTGGCAAAGACGGACAGATCAGGCTTGCGTGTCTGTCGCCGGGAGTCGTCATCGGCTTCTGGAGGGTAAATATTTAACAAAACTCTTTAAAGGAACCAAAACGTTTCTGTGGCTCTGGAGTTTTAAATGCAGGTGTTGTAAGTTTAGATGCACATTTTATAATCTGTTTAACATCTCATGTTTATCTGCTGATTATTAAATTACTTTTAAATCAAGGTGGGAATTTAACGTGTCAATTGCAATTAATTTGAAGAAAGGCGTTTTCCAGTTAGGTCCTTTCGAGACGTCAATCTTTATTCAGTGGCTGATGAGCTGCAACACATCTCAGCTGCGGCTTATGAGGCAGACCTGAAACACAGGAGAAAAAGCTCTCACATGGGGAGAGCCTCTAGAGGTCAGCGACCCTAACAGTCACATAGTAACAAATAGGAGAACTGCACTGAGCTCTGCGAATGTGAACAGTCTAGTTTGTCTAAGTTGACAGTAATTGGCTGAGAGAAGGACCGTAAATGAGAATGGAGGTATTGTGAGTCCAATGGGGTTTTGTTGGTTGTTTGTTTTTGGTTTTTTTTTCCACTGAAATGGTCGATGATCACACCGTTTTAACCTAATGTACAAAATAAAGTTGGCTAAGGTTACTCGGAGTTCAAAGGTGAAGCTGGTCAAATACCCTTTTGTTTCTGCGTTTTTTTTCTTTTTCTTTTTTTTTCTTTTTTTTTTTTTATTAAGAAGAAAAACTGCACTTTATGTTGAAATTTTTATTATTTAAAGACAATACCATTTTGAAAATGTACTTAAAGTATTTAAAATAAGTCTGCTTAATTTTGGCTAGGGATGTTATATTTTTTTCTGTTTTGCATTGAAATGCAGTTTTTCTTATGTGATGAAATGTGATTGTTCAAGATTAATTACTTAATTATAAAGAGTCCCACCCCTAGTTTTAATTCCTGAGTGAATTTCTGTGCGTTTTTAAATGCAGTTTTTCCTGTTAGTGTTCCTAAAATAACAGAACATCTTTAAGTAGTTCTTCTGCAGTGAAGCCTCTAATTCTGTAACGTTAACTTGTATGTTTTTATTAGAATAAAATGAATTATAAAAGTAAAAGAAGATTCTGTGTGTAGGGTCGGGGCAACATAGCCTTCATCATGATCAACCTGCACTTCCACAAGCTGGTGGAGAAGATTCTGCTGGGATCTCCAGTCTGGTAAGTTTAAGGAAGTGGTCCTGCTTTAAAACAGAGGCCAGCATCAGTAGCCTGGCTTTCCTGTGATGCCAAATAATATTAACAATAAATGGGCCGGATTTGTACGTCTGTCATCAGTTTAAGAGAAACTTTGTTTAATATTCAGTTTTGTGTTAATGCTCATTTGTCCCTTCCTGCAGCCCATATTCCGAACCTTTGGACCCGCCCCCCGTGGACGACCGTGACCCTAAATTTGGTCTCCACGGCTACACTCTGCACTTCGTCCTGCACAATACCAGGACCCAGATCATGTCGGGACACTTTTGCCAGCTCTCCTGCAGCACAAGTAATCACGGAGTAATGAGATTACATTCCCTGTTAAGCAGGGAGTCTTTCACAAAAGAGCAGATGTAACTTTTTGTTTGTTTGTTTGTTTTTTTTAATTTAAAACGAGCCAAGAAACTGCACTTTAGACTCTGATCTTAGGATTTACACTCATTTCTGTTTCCTTACATTTGTGCTGCGTTGAGTTATACATTGACTTGTTCTTATAATGTCAGGTAAAGACTAGGGGTGGGCGCCATGTTGTCTGTCGAGGGTTGTTGTTGTTTTTTTTTTTTTTTTTTTTTGTTTTTTTAACAGCTGTTTTTCCACCGTATGTAACGACATCGGTAACTTCCATCCTGTCACATGGAGCGCGGATGGTCACACTTGGTGGATTCACATTATGGAAACTCTACAATCAACAAACTGAGGAGTAAGTGAAAAATTTTAAATCACCAACACTCTCTGGCCTGTGGTCAGTTCAACAGGGACTTGCTGAAATGAAGGTCATCAGCAGGACTAATGTGTCCCAGCACCGATCACTGTCTGGAAGCATCCGTGTGCCCTGGAAGTGGGAGAAGCTGGAAGGCTCGGTAGAGGTACAGCCGTCTGACACACATGATTCAGAGATTTATAGTGCTGTGCAGAGGTCTCAAGCTACCTCTCAACAAGGTGACATAGGATTTTGAAATGCCAGTGTGTATTTTTTATTTATTTATTTTTTAAGGCTTTATCTTCCATTTGTCCAGTTTGCTCTTTATTTTATTTATTTATTTATTTTTTTAGAGACTCACTGCAAATCATGCTGAAAGACATTTTTTTTGGCTAACAGCTCTCTGGGAATCACCTTGGTGCAAAAATACAGTTTTATGTCAGTTTGTGTTGTGTGTTTGGCTAAAATGGTTTCCTTGCTGAGTTGGATGTAGACACAATACAGCTTCATCCTGTGAGCTTGAATGATTCACAGGTCGGTGTGAATTGCCCTAACAACGGAAAAACCTTATAACGCCAAATTGCAAAGAAATGAGGGTTGGCTCAAGACTTCTGCACAGTACAGACAAAGAAACCAAATGTTTGAACTCGTGCAGACGTGTTTTACACATGTGATGTCTGAGTTTAAGCTGCAGTTAAAGTGTGGTGTTGCGTGTGTTAACGTCGTTGTGTAAGATAAGATAACCTTTATTAGTCCCACACGTGGGAAATTTGTTTTGTCACAGCAGGAAGTGGACAGTGCAAAAGTTATGAGGCAAAAATTAGAATACAATAAGAATAAATACAGTACACAGCTGTACAGAATAGAATAAAATAATATACTATATACAGTAGAATAAAATAAATATACAATAAGATAAAAATAGAATACAAATACAAATGTGTGATAGGTGGTGTGATGTTAGTGTGAATAACTTGGCGCGCCGTGACGTCTCGCTCTGACTCTGTCTTCAGAACTGCTGCGTCATGACGTTGACCCTGCTGGACGAGTTCCAGAAACCCTTCTGGTGCGTCAGCACCCCGGTTACCATCTCCGTGGTGAAGAAGTCGCAGTCGTTGGGCTACAGCGGCACCAACTTCCTGATGGTGTACCGCAGCTCTGAGGGGCAGGTGAAGATGAAACTGGTCCGGCTGAAAGAGCAGCAGCAGTTCTTCCTCGTCGGCCTCACGCTCTACGTCTCCATCCTCAAAGTCAACGCTCACTTCAGCACCAAGTACAAAAGCTGAACTGGTCCAGTTTCACATGTTTGTCTGTTTTGAATTAATTTCAGAGAAGAGATTCTGGTGTTAATTTTATTCATTGAGACTGTGAGTGCTTTTGTTCTGGCCTATGGTTTGACGCACAGTCATGTGACAGGATCTCATGTGTAGAATAAACTGCACATTTATTTCATTGGAATTGTGTTTTTTGAGAAGCACTTTGCAGATTAAATATAATTTACATTAAAACCTTCTGTTGTTTGTCCCTTTATTTTATCCTAAATGACTGAAACTGGGAATTATGGATCCCAGTCAGTGGGAGAAAAGCATGGGGGGGGGAAACTCTGGACTGAGGACAGGTCGAGTTCAGCCAGATAATCCAGAGGTCATGTCTGAATCAGTCCAGCTCATCTTCCTTTTGCTTCAGACTTCTTTAAGAGCAATAGACTCAAAGGTTTAGCCAGTAAAGCCAGTCAGATGGCTGTATGAGTGTAAATGTGTGAAGAACTCGCTAAAGATCCATACAAAAAGCTGGAGCTTCAGATGTGACATGCTCTCTGACCTCCACGTCTTCATCATTGACTGATTCTCATTGAAGGCTTCCCTCATCTTTGGGGAAGTGCAGTCAATCTGATCTTTATTTCCTCCCTCAGAGGTCAAAGGGTTGGTGTCAGCTGCATTTAAAGAACTACAAAAGGCTCTTTCTGGTTTCACGGTCAGGCATGAGGCTTTCTATGCTTTAGCGTCAGCAGGTGCTCCTATCACATCTTCCTGCTTCCTCAGTTTAATGATCTTAGGAGGCAGAATGGAGTGTGCAGACAAACCCTCAGACTGAGGTCTGCAGTTCAAATAATTTGATGAAGCATGGCGTCTGTACGCCTCAGCAGCCCATCTGTGCAGCAGAGTTAACAACAGAAGGCTGACGAATTATTAATATTTTTAGTTTGATTCGCTCTTCAGTTCCTGATCTTACATGAGAGAAGAAAACTGAAGGAATAAGGGCGTACAACACAACTGCAGCAACTTAAAAGTCAAAATTGACTTTAAAAGAAAATTCAACAAAATAAGAAAAGGGGTTTCCAGTTACATGTTTGGATAAATTTCCTGCAGACGTCTGAATTGAACTTTAGTCACACAACTCGCACATGCTGTTACTGGACAAAAGGTGGCGCTGTTCTTAAACCACAGCTCAGCTGGGTTTTTAAACTGTCACACAATCCATGTAGATGTGTAAGAATAGAAAACTGGCTGTGTCAATTTAACAAGTTCAGAGTGTGAAACTTACAGTTTTCTATTTTCTCATTTTTAATGTAAATGCTTTTATTTTCGCAAAACAAGTTTTTATTTAATTAAAATATTTTTTTGCATCTCGTTTTGGTTAATGATAACTAGCCTGGTGTTAAACAACAAGCTGGGCTTAAACAATGAATACAGGACAGGAAGTGACTCATATGCATCATTAAATTATTTTTTGGTGAGCAACACTCGATGGTGTTAAATGGAGACCGCTTCGTTTTTGTTGGCAGACGTGAACTTAAAACATCGAAGCAGAAGTTGTAAAAACTCTTTGTGGACAGAGAGAGATGGAGGAGCTGTGAGACTTCACTTATAAACAAACGCTGCTCCAGAGCCCGTTTGTGTACACGAGAGAAAATAATGTACTAAAGCCGAGCTCTGTTTCACTGGCTGCTCAAAATACAGTTTCAGAGACAAGGTTTACCCGCCAAATAAACAAAAATCTCCCTGCATCACTCGATGCTCGTGCTGCAGTCTGCAGCTTGTTTTTCAGAGAGAAACAAAGCTGGAAGAGGCTAAAAAGTAAAAATGTTTCTGAGCTATCACGTGTAATTTAGAGAGTAGCTCTTTATGCAGGGGAAAGTTTAGAAGAATGATTTGTCACATCCACACAGACTCTGTGCAGGTCCAGCGAACTGCAGCACTCTTCATGGCTGTTTTCTCTCACAGGTGATGTGTTTGTTCAAGATGATGAGATATAGATACAACTCATCCAGAAAGTGTTTACAGAGCTTCAGTTTTTCTACATTTTGTTGTATTTAAACCGTATTTTTTATGTTTTATTTTTAATAAAAAGGACGCTCACGCAGACTTTTTTCCGTGTTGTCATTTTGGAGTATTGTCTGGAAAATATTGAGGTGAAATACGGCAAAATGTGGAACAACTGAAGCGCTGTGAGTAGTAGTGAAGGGAAACAGCCATGAAGAGTGCTGCAGTTTGTTAGACCTGATTTCTGTCCCATCACTGAAGTCTGCAGAGTTTTCAGACCTAACACAGAGCAGAGCACACACATGGTCAGTCTTAACGTTCAGCTGTTGTTTTAATGCAACATGAAGTCATTAAAAACATTCAGTGTTTGTTCATTTATGTTTACAACCTCTACTTTTTCAACCTTTTGTAAATACTTGAATCAGGACAAGTGAACTCTGTGTGTTTTCTGGGACTGAGTAGATTTTTAAAGTGACCTTTGAGTGACTCAAAAGTATCTGTAGGATTATTTTGTGTCTGTGTTACAGCCCTAGCAAGGCCTCCTCCTGAAGGTGCCTGTGTGGGCGTGTCCTACAATCTCTTCTGCCTGAGGTGCCACCTTTCTCTTTTACACAGCTGACTCACATCAGTAATTAAAGGTATTTAAGCCCAGGGAAAGGTGAGCTCTGGGCCAGAGTGCCATGTTAGTGGTTGCAGCTGATGAGCTGTGTTTTTGCTGTTTACTGCGTTTGGTGATTGTTTAGTCCTGCCAGTGTTTGGTGACTAAACTCTTTTTTTTTTGACTTACTCTTCAGTTTATTGACCAACGCCTGAGTTTTGTTTTGTTTCTTTAAATGGTGATAGCGGCTTGACCGTCTCTTTTAGTTAGTATTTGATAGAAACTTTAATAAAACTCTTTAACCAGTTTGCCTCTGTCTCCTTTTTCTGACCCGGACACTTTTTGTTACTTCCCCTTCATCGCCTGGACCCTTTTAGGGGAACGTAACATCTGCACTAAATCATTGTGTGTGTTTATTAATAAGCTTAAAAAGTTTGGTGTTGTCTTCTATCTAAGGGCTGCGTGATTCCTTCTTGACAAGCAGAAATGTGAAAAACCTTCAGCTTTTATAGGCTCGAATAAAAACTTTAGATTTAAAATCAGCTTTAAAATCATCTCAGCTCTTTTTGAGAAATTTTCATCGGTGTCGTCCTGCTTCAGAACTACTAGAACGTCTTCAGCTCATCACGTGTCATTTCCTTCAGAGTGTTTGAAAGAAATAGTTTGTAATTTAATTTTCACATTAGTTAAAGTTTACAAGAAAATCCCAAAAGGTTGATTCTGTCCATATGGATGTAGCACAAGTCCATTAATCAAAGACTGATCAATGGCTATGAGTACCATTCACACAGTTGGGGAATGGCTGCAATCGCTTCATTGTAAGGTGGCGAAAGATGTACCAGAAGTCATGGCAGAGCCTCTGCCATGTTTAACACATGGCTGCAGACACTCACTGTTGGACCTCCCTCCTGGCCTCCTCCATACATACTGACAATAATGTGAGTCAAAAATTTCAAATATGTTTTCATGACTCCATCAGACCTACTGCCACTGATTTTCAGTCCAGTTCATATATAATTCAGCGAACCTCAGGTCAGAGTGAAGCGGCTTAAACAAACAAAAATAAATAATTCTTCTAAAATGGTCCAGTGTAAGGACTGGAAAGGCAGCTAATGTCTGACAAAAGAAGCTTTGAAAGACCTTCAAAAAGCTGAAGAACTACTGCTCGAAACCACTTTAAGGAATCAGTAGAAAGTCTGGCTCCTCGGACACAAATTATCAAGAGATGAGGGGTGGCTCAAGACTTTTGCACAGCACTGAATACCAAAAATGTGAGTCATCTGCTCAACAGTTGAAGCTTGACTCAAACTGGGTCATGCAGCAGGTGAACAACCCCAAGCAAAGCAGCTGATCTCCAACAGAATGACTGAAATGCTGCAGGACCCTCGAGCAATGCTGTGAACAAGAGGTCCAAAATTCCTTCACAGTGATGTGAGACGAGTCACAAAGGGAAACAGTTTCTGCAGGTAGTTACTGCTACAGCTACTGAATCATTGACTGTGGACTCAGTTTTCCACAGCACTGCAGAGTCCTGTAAGAACAGATTTAATCAAAAATGCAAACGCAGCCCTGCTGAATGACTAAAAGGATTGAAGTCTGCAGTTTGAAACACAAACCAGAGACTTGAATGTCAGTTTGGAGATAAAGTCTCAGATAATTGTGTTAAACTTTCTAATGAGCTTCACTTCAGCTCACACAGGGCTGGTGGGCCAGTAATGGCCGACGTCAAGGACTGCAGGGTGTTTTCATGAAAACGTGTCAGTAAGTCATGGCGGTTAACTGCAATACACAAGACCCAACAGTACTGCTCCAGCATCTAATGATGAAACCACGCTCTATCCTCTGGTTGGTGTTTTCTGATTTTAGTGCTACTCAGTTTACTGAAACATTACATCAGGAAGTGCAGCACAGAGGCTCGTTAGCACAGCTGGTTCCTGTTGATTGAATCATCTATTGCTCCAGCTCAAAGCAGGTAGTTTTTGTTATTACTGTACAGTTTTATGTGTCCTGGTGATTAAGTTATTTTGTAATCAGCTGCCCATCGTGTCTTTATTACTTTAGGAAGTTTGCATACAGGTAACATATCAACGCAGTCACTGAAATGAAAATGAAATACAAAGGGACTCAAATACGAAGGGAAACTGCAGCAATGTGCTAATGTGGGACATAAAAAAAAGACTGATGACATTATCCATCTTTATTAAAGTAAAATTCAGTGTGGATCTTTTCTAGTAAACAGTAAAGATGGCTTTCTTGAAGAAGAAGAAAAAAAAATGTTTGAAAACAAATCATTTACACCAGGTGTGTCAAAAATAAGGCCCGGGGGCCAGATTAAACTTTTACTGGTCACAGCTTTTCCTACTGATAAAGACCTCACCCACTGCCATTTGTACTCCAAATGAAATGACAGAACACTGCTGTTGTTGATTTTTTTTTAGCATTTATCAGAGAAAAATCTGTATTTAAAAAATTAAAAATCAGAATTTTAACAAAATCTTCACTTTTGAAATTACAGGAGAGTCTGGACAATGAGCTGCCAGATCTTCTGTAAATTTACAAATTTATTTATTCCATCTTAAATCAGCAAACTTTTTAAAATTTTATGTTTGACCATCTCTGATTTGAACAAAAAAATATTATCATCCAAAGTTTTACCGTATATAATGACCACAGAGAAACTTCAGAAACCTTTTTGTCATCCATCAACCCACTTTCATGTGATTTCAGAATGATTTTGTTAAATATGTGTGTCTTTTTTTAGACCACGGTCGTTCAGATTTTAGGATTTTTTTCTGTTGCTCCTGTCGAGCAGAAGATGGAATGACCCAACAGCAATATTTCTTTATCATGCAGAAAAACTGAGGTGTACAGTTAAAACGGCACTTCTTTGCCTTATATTAAGATGTGTTGGTGTAACTGTGTAGTTACACTGACAGAAAGGTCAGTTTCACTGGTCTGATTCACTTAACATCAAAGTAGCTTATGACAAAAGGAGTCTGACATCCCTGCTCAAACACAGAAAGAAAAATGAAAGTAAGCACTAAGTGAGTGGTGGCATTGCACAGTGGACTAGGAAAAATGTCTCTATGAAACACCATCAGAATAAGCATGAGGAACAAGAAGGTGACACTGAAGAAAAATGTTATGGATGAACTGGACAGTCATGATATTTCCTGTAATAATGTATTTAAACTAGTGTAGTGCCATTTTAAAGGCACTACACTGTCTATATTCTTTGATACTATCAGTGGGAAAATTGAAACCATGTCTGCTCCATTTTGCAAAAAGAGGGCATTAGAAAGTATGAGATCGCGGATGGTGAAAGACGCGCCTTTGTGAGACCACAGAGTCTAAATGTAGAAAAACCACACCTGCATTTGAATGAGTTTTTCTCCTGCTAGCTGCATGCAAAGTTAGAATGGTTGCCGTCGCAGTTTGGATCCCCCCCACTCGACATGCAAGTAAAACATGATCTGCTGGAGGGAGGAGATGTTTGAAAAATGACTGTCTGTGTGTTAAATAAGACCCTGAAGGCTGAAAACCAGTCTCTCTCTGATTGTGCGGGAAGGTTTTTCTTCTCTAGAGTTTAGACCAAACCCTGAACTTTTAGAGTAAAATATGACACCGAACCTCATGTGCAGTGGTCACCGGCATGGTCTTAAATAAGCTCAGGCCAAAGTTACCTGTTCAACCATGTAACTGAATGCCGAGAATAAATCTGTCAGGGAACACTGTACTGAGCGTAAAACTGTGGCCCTTCTGTGACACCTTCCACAAGATCACAACTAAGAACACACAAATCTAAGTTTGAAGGCTGTAAAACTGATGATAAACAATTCAAACAGCCCCATATGACACCATCTGTTTAACGACTGGAGACCCAATCCTGATGCTGCTGTGTGACATGGGGTCGGTGAAGGGTTGATTACATTTTTGTGCTATTCAGAGGGCCACACTGGACCCTCTGAATACTACAAACTATATTAACCCCTGAACACTCCCATCGGGTTAACAGTGAACCACTCAAATGTTGGCTGAGGGTTTGGTGTGATAAGTCTGTCACAGTCATCTGGACCTTTTGTTTTCAGATGTCCACTTAGGGGTGATAAATAAATAAAGGTGGAGAAGCTGACGACTCTATGACGAGTCTCACGCAGTTGTAAGGATGATTGATCAGATCTGACAGTTGCCGTAGACAGGACAGATGATGAGCGGAGTGGAGTTTTGGCCACCATGAAGAGTCCCGGGGCTGAAGAAAGGGCGGAGTTTCTCTTTGAAGGAGCAGTCAGTGTAGCAATGAATGAGTTGTGCGGATTCAGCATTATAAAAAGAGACCGAATGATTCTCATAATCCACAAACACTCCCACTTTCTTTGGCTGAGAGTCCACACTGAGATGGACACGTGAGGCTTTGTACTCTCCTGCCCTTAAACATATTATCCAGAAGCCGTTCTTGGGGCTCACATACATTGATCCCTTCCTATTTATTGACTCTTTAACGACACCTAAATCCCAGGAGGTTTTCTCCTTAACCTGAACTTCATAGTAAAAGCTTTCTGAAGAGAAGCTCTGATTTCCCACAACATTAATAGCACGGTCAAATCTTTCTGGGTTGTTTGGGAGAGTTTGTGTTATGTCACCACAGCGAACTTGTTTCCCGTCCTCAGACAGGATGAGGTTGGGATGTGCTGTGTCTGGATCCAGTGTCACATCCACTGCAAACTGCCGGAGCCTGTTCAGCTCAGTCACAGCGAGAAACATCTCCATGTCTTTGCTGAGTTTTTCCTTCAGCTGAGTCACAGTTTCTTTGTAAGATGGCTGGGGGAACCTGGCTTCTGTCAGCATCTCATTTGTGAACGAGAAGCTTGGCAGGAAGTCACGTTGGTCTTTGGTAAGCTGCTCCACCTCTGCGCTCCTCTTGGTCAGCTCAGAGATTTCCTGCTCTAGCTGCTGGATTAATCCTTCAGCCTGTTTCTGTGTCATTTTCTGCTTTTCATCGATCTCTCCAATGATTTTATCCAGACTGCTCTGGACAGAGGCCACCAGCGCTTCAAACGCCCTCCTGCTGTCTGAGGTCTGTCGCTCTGCAGACTTCCTGCTGAGCTCTGCTGTGCGTCTGACTTCACAGATCTTCATCTGCTTCTCCTTGATCCTCAGATCAATTTGGGCTTTCATCTCCCTCAGTTTGGCCCTCCTTGTCTCATCATCACGTGGGAGCGCTGCAGAGATCTTGTGGTCTAAAACAAGCCAAAACAGGAAAAGCTGTAAACAACTTTTTTATTGAGGATTTTTCTCAAGCTGTATTAAATGCAATCATTCATGCAACTAATGTGAACCTTTATTTTTCAGCTCTTCATATTTTTACCTTCATTTGACTGGTTTGACAAATCCTGAACCAGATCATTTCTGTTTATCTTCCTTAAGATCTTCATGGTTTTTTGCACAGCTCCTGGACAGCGGTATTTTTGCACCATCAGATCGATCGTATCCAACCTGTCCGCTCCTTCCAGTCGGGCCTCTGGGATGGCTGGAAAACCGTTTTCCATATCCCCCTCCTTCAGGAACCACTTAAAGTTCTTGAACTGTTCAGCTGTCAGATGCTCAAGAGTGCGCCAAAGAGCTTCTTTAGTAGACGTCATTGTGGCTTCCTGATAAACCAAAAAGCAGAAATAGATGGGATGTTTGTGTTATTCTTGTATGAATATGAGCATTACGCTGCTGTGATAAAAGCTTCTTCTTGTGAATTTGTCTGCTCGCATACTTTAAATAAATATTAGAGCAATATTAAAGTGCAGTTAAGACCTAAAATGATTCAGTTTGCTTTGATTATGTCCTAAGTTTAGCTTTTGCAGTGTTGATAGCCTTCTGGATTCTTAACAAACGCAGCAGTGACACCAGATCACCGGATGCAAACTCAGTGTTTTTAGTCCTTTTATCGTTTTAGGGGTCAGTCACTGTGCTGCTGTGTGTGTTTTTGTTCACTCCACACGAGTGAACATTTACATCCATGCATGGACTAATTTGATTGAAATTTCCACTAAATGTAGGAAAAATTGCTGTATAAATCAGGTAAATGAGCAAAAGTTTGGGTGTTTTCTTCTAAAGAAAAGAAGACAATCATCTGTGTCGGGCTCTGTGAGACGAGTCCTGACATGCTGAGTCTCAGAGAATCCAGATTATGTTACAGTTCCTTACATTTTTCTTTAATGCTCCACTGAAATTAATCATTACATTAAATATTTAAGTCTTCTTACCACTTCCAACGTGCCCAGAGAAAGTCACCACAGCTTGCTTTCCTTCCCTGCTTCTTACACGTCACATTCACAGCCTGAAAAATGTCAGTATGACATCACTCCGGACCGTCCTATGAGCTGCGCTTCATTTAAACGGTAACTCAGGTTGTTACACACCACGTGTAAGACGTGTACGGGCAGACCAGACTGCACTATAAGAGTGCAGGAACAGGAAGGACAGCAGATATTTCCTAAAAATAAGAAAACACTCAGTGAGAAGACAAAGAATGAAACATTTAATATTTCATTAAAGAATAAAGCTTAAAATGACCCCCAGTTCTTTTGACAACGTATATAATCTCCAGCCAAACTTTGAAGAATAGTTAGACGGACCTTCAGCAAAAGGGAGAAGGTCAGGGTGGATAGAGGGTTCAGAAGACCATTGCTGAATAAATGATGGGAAAAACAAAACTGGCAGAGAAAAACCAGCAACGACTCAGAGACTCGAGAAGGCAAAGAAGTGGAGAGCTGATCCAGAGCGGTTCAAGGATTTTTCAAACACCCCAGTTTTATTTTAAATGCTCACATTATTTTCTTTACACACAGAAACACATCGCACATGTCCCGTGAATCTCTCCAGTTCCTTCAGATTCAATGGCCTTCTGGTACGGACCTTGGTCTTCAGTTCACCTCACACATTTTCAGTGGGAGTGAGGGCTTTGTGGAGGTCAGCCAGTAACGTTCACAGTATTCCCACCAGCGTGGTTCAATGTTGGGACGCTCTACTTCGGGTTGTACTTCTCTCGCTTTTCTCTTTAAAAACAACATAAGCTGCGTCTCTGTGACCAAAGAGCTCCAGTTTGAGCTCATCTGAGTAACGTACTCACTTCTAGCATGAATAATCTGTCTCCAGGTTGTCCTTAGCACACTTTAGTCTCTTCTGCAAAAGTGGAGTTTTTCTTGGTCTGCGACCTCACAGTTAATTCCTGTGCAGAGTCTGAGTGATTGTTTTCATTAGCTAACTCCTTCACGAGTGTCTGGGCAGTTACTCTGAAGTCTTTAGATGTCTCTCACTTGTTTTCTTTCCAGGGTCTTTAAATTTTTTTTGCATCCTACATCTGCCAGGCTTGTTCTGTACTGTGTGGCTCTCTTTGAATGACACTTCTCACTCCAGTTCCTGACACTTGGATATCAATCTCCTCCTGTATGAGCATCTATTCTTTTAATTCAAGTCTAAACTGACGTCTTTTGTTTTAGCATTGATGCCTTCTTAGTAACAGCTCAAACCCTCGTGTAATTTTTTTTATTTTAAAAGAATCCTCAGCAGGGGTGGCTCTAGAGAAATTTTCTTAGGGTGGCAAAATCAAAGCCTTTTTTTCCCCAAACACATATGTAGGTGTTTACTTATAGTTAAAATGATTCAAATGCAGTAAGTATACACGTTTTTTCTAAAAATATAGTCTAATTCAATTATTTTCTGTAGCCCACATAATTAAACACTTTAGTTACATAAAAAATGTGAGTTTTGATTTTATGTACTGTGTAGCCTGGTATGATAAATAAATATGTAGACCAATAAGTATAAAATCCAGAAAGCTACACAACATGGGGCGGTTCATTTACAAACACAAGTTCAACTTCAGTTTCACTGTTTTTTGTTAGAAAAAAATCAAATTGTTACATACTTAAATTACACAAAATGTCAGAAATCTGCACTGTCACGAACAAAAATTTACACTTAATTTTTCATGATTTGTTGGATTAACCCACTGAGGTCCAAAATATAACTGGCCATTGTTGAGGCGACTTGATTTTACATTTGTATTTCACCCTCAAATTGTTTTCATTTTATTTTTTCCCCTTGCCTTATTTGGTTTCATTCTTTGCAGCACAACCTCACGACTTATCACACCAAATTTAGTTGTTTTTTCATTGAAATACTTAGTATTACTGATCTGAAATCACACAGGAAATTTAAAATCCTGGTAGTATTTTTCTACTGTAAAAAAAAAAAAACCCAGACATGTTGAGTCAGTTATTATTTTTATAACTTGAAATGCAAATATAAATTGTACATTTTGAAAACTTATGCACACATTTTGTAAAAATATACAACTATTTATCTAAAAATGTGTGCTTTTGTGACATTCCCTCAGGGGACATTCGTTAGTCCCCTCACTGACACACAAAACAAAACAACGACTACACGACAGACTAACTATACTAACTTCACACTAAACGTCACAAATCTCCCACATCTAAAAACTGTCTCTCTCTCACTCGCTCACTCTGGCTCTCTCCTTTACTGTCACTCCCAAAACTCTCCCCTCCCTCTTCCAAAAAAACAACCAAATCCTACATGACTTTAAAAAAAATTTGGTCGACATGGTACATTTTTCCACCGATAGGAAAGAAGTGCCTTTTTTTCTTTTCTTTACTGTTTTCGAGCCGTCTTTAGAAAACGCTTTAAATAAACACACACACACACACACACACACACACACACACACACACACACACAAAACCGTGTTTAGAAAAAAAGCATGGCTTATATATATTTAACATAACTTCATAACTCCATAACTTTAATTACTGGCCTGTAATTAAAATTTAAAAACCGGTGTATACTTTGAAGTCCGAACTTTCACTATGAGCTGAAAAACCGAGTCAACGTGGCTGTAGCTTGTTGCTGCGTCAGCTTACATCAGTCATGTGATTTGGAGGTGCAGCGTGTCCGTGGACCACAGAGGGTTAATAACACTCACCTTCATTCCATTTCCAGAGTGTAACATCCAACCACCTGTGCGAACTCTGAAATCCCCATGGTGTTGTTCAGAATGTGCTCTGGCACAATCATAAGCATTGCTTACTACTGGAAAAAAAGAAGAAGAAGAAAAAAAAAACGGTCTGCGCGATGGGCTGAACCATTTGTTAATGGTGGAGGGGGGTTACACTATGCAATATATTCAGTTTTAGCATTTATATTCACTGTTAACTGTAACTACGCTCAAAGTGTTAATGCTATCTTATTTTAATAAACAACACTGTTATATGCAAAACTAGGGTGGCACTTGGGATGGTAAGAGATCATTTTGGGGTGGCACTTACCCCATGCCACCCTTCTAGATCAGCCCCTGATACTCAGAACCTTCAGAAACAATGACCAGACACAGGTGTGAGGGTATCTGTGAGCTCACAGACAGTGAAGGGGAAGCTGGAGTTACACAGGTGTGCACTCACTCTGCTGTATTTTCATACAGCTGCCGTTAGATGGCGACTTAAAAGCACATTTTACTGACAGAACTTCTCAACAACTATGTTTAGTTTTTATTTAATTCATTCATACTCTATAAGATTAAAATAGGCTAATGATTCACTACACATTGAATGCCCTTCTTCTAAAGGAATCAGCTGGTTTGATAAAAACTTTAAATATGTTTCGACTGTTGGTGTTTTCATTCTAACACCAACAGTATATACAAATATATGCAAAGTATCTGTTTGCATATATTGAGGAAATTCTTTATTTTTGTGGGGGTTTTTTTTCAGTATGTATAGTTATAGTAGTTTATATTATAGTAATATAAAGTGAAAGTGATTGTAGTTAGTTAATTTTTACACTGTCTGCTGGAAATTAATACCAGTCTGAGAGGCCATTAGTTTATCGTTTTCTTCCATTTTCCACTGCTTCCTTTAGGGGATGATCCGCGGGTCACTACCGCGGATCATCTGCCTCCATCTCACCCTGTTGCCAGAATCTTACCCTCTGCATGAACCTCTTCTGGGAAATTTAAAATTAAAGGTGAGCTGGGAATGATTTGGACTTTTTAAATTACACTAAAAGGTTAAAATAGTTGTGATGATAATATGTGTAATAATCTACTGACACATAAGGTGGCTGATTCTGAGATGAGTGAGAAAATAAGTTGTACCTCTGTGTGTGGGTGTTAGGTCAAAACCAGAGGGAAAGACTCACTAGGGTAGAACAGAAAATCCAACAGTGACTGGAGAAATCCTGGAGGGGTAATCGGGTACAAGGAGGCAGGTGCACTGATTGGGAAACTGGGAACAGGTGAGGAGTGAAAGCCTGGGGAATAGAGTGTACCTGGGAGAGGCCTGAGTGAGTGAGTGAATAAATGACAGAACGGAAACAGAAGGTAATGTGAATGATTAATCTGCCATCTGCTGGTTTACACTGAGGTGTAATTTGCAGCTCGCTGCTTTGTTCTCATTTATTGTCAGATGTGTGATAGAGGAACCAGGAGGAACACTATGCACAAATTCGGGCACACAAACAAATGAAACAAGAACCTGAAATAAGTTTACTTTTCAGTGTGGTGGCCTGGTGTCTTCAACTATGTATAAAAGAACCGGGGTCTAAATTGTGGTTTGGTGATCTGATTTTACCCTGAAACCAGGCTCCGCTGATGGGGAAATGACTTTGTGAGGGTTCAGGAGTTTATGTTTGAGTGAAAATGTACCAAGCAGCCTCTAAGCTTGGTAAAATGTGGAAACTCCAGAGAAGCTAGGTTGTCGCTTTCCTTACCCACCCACCTAAAAAGGAAAAAAAAAGTCCTGCAGCTGGAATCAGAAACACCCACTGTATTATCCCTGCAACTGAAAGCCACCTAATCAGGATTTTCTGGCTTTTGTTACAGGTTATTTAAGACTAAAGAACCTTCTCATGCTTAAACTAATCCCATTAATCTTGCTGGAATTTTGGCTTAGTGGCTTCTTCTTGGGTAAAGTCAGATTTATATTGCTGGTTTTGCTGATGTCGGGCAGAAGATCATTCAGATCATCGGATGCTGCTTTACAAGTATAAAACTGATACAGATGGATGTGAATGTTTGAACACATCTATCCATACAACAGCAGTTGACTTATCAGAAGTCAGAACTTACGGATGAAGTGAAACAGTTTGTTTATCCTCCTTTATCCTAGTTGTTGAAGTATCATTCAGATTCTCGTCTCAGCCGAGCAGTGAGTTTAAACATGAGCTCTTTCCATATGTTGATCTTAATTTTATCTGATTATAGTAAACTGGTGGGGGAAAAAACGAGGGAATCCTGCAGGGAAAATGAAAATATTAAAAAAAAAAAAAAAAAGAGGAAAAGAGAGAGGAGATGTGGAAGCAGGAGGAGGAGGGTGCAGTGAGGGACACACCCTGAATGGGTGGAAACAGTAGAGCAGGCTCGTGTGTTTACTGATCTGACAGACTGTGTGTTCACTGTGCAGGAAGCTCGAGTCCTCTGAAGCAGGCGGTCGACGTGAATCGAGGGAAAAACCATGGCTGTTAACAAGTGTATCAAATACCTTCTCTTCTTCTTCAACCTTCTTTTTTGGGTGAGTATTTAAGACAACTTGAGTTCTTACAGTTTATTCACAGGTGATGGATTGGGCAGGTGTTTGCAGGTGGCGTCTGAGTTTTTGAGGCTGTTCAACAGATTTCAACTGAGTCTGATTTAAAAGTTTGCAAACCTGCCGGTTTTATTTGATTTGTGTTTGAAGCATTCAGTTTGTTTAATTTGGGCCTCGTCCCTAAATCAGTTTGACAACTGGCACAGTAGGTGTGGCATGCTGGTTTAGGAAGCTGTGATGCAACTTTCAATACTAAAGTTATTATTTATCTATTTATTTATTTCCAATATATTTCTACTTTTTCTAACTTGATTAAGATTTTTCTTAAATTTGGTCTCTTTAACCCCCAGTCTTTCCCTTTTCTGCATTCTTTGTGTGTCCTGACCTCCCTCTGTCTTTCCATCAATTGAGTAAAACTGGTTGTATCAGATTTTTCTGGCTTCACAAACAGGTATTTGTTCAGTTTCTGGGCATGGCTGTCCCCTCCGCCCCTGAGTTGAGCAATTCAGCATGATGGCGCTCCCTGGATGTTTTTGTTTTTAAACATCGCTGTTTGTAGGTCTTTGGAGGTTCACTGAAGTCTTTCTAAAAAGCACTGTTTGCATATTTTCTAAGCAATGTTTGCTCCATCCCACAGATTCTGTGCTGCTAGGAGCCCAACATGTAGCTTGACTGAGTAATTTTTGTTGTTGCTCAACACCAACCTGGTGGTGGCAGGAAACATACATTATCTCTTTTTTTTGTAGGCGGAACAATGGAAGGCCTTTATCAGCTTTGGAGCTGAAGTATTTGAGTTGCCGCTCCCACTAAAAACTTTAAAGACTTTAAGAGCACGTATTTGTGCAAGGCAAGAGTTTGTTTTCCCCGTCAGAGCCAAAACTACAAACGCTGGTGTGCTGGAAACGTAAATCTTAGTCTGACTTCACATGTAATTGTGAAGTTTTTCCCCAACAAGCGAATTGTGCTGTTAGTCAATGAGAACAGCACAAATAACCATAATTTTTCAACCATGACGTGATCAAGATTTACAAAACAGACTTTTTCTTCAGCATCACCATGCAGATAAACCCAGCAGTAAACTGTTCACAGAAGTCTGGTCAAAAACTCAGGTTTCCTATAAACGTTTTCAGGCCTCGAAGTCTTTTTGAAACCACAGCTGTCACCACCTGGTGGCCTTCAGAGAGAATCCAGATCTAAAAAACTTCTTCAGTGACTTCAATGGCTAAGCCATGTTTTTATTTTTTAAACTGGTCTTTGTTTGACAATGAAAGCCAAGGCTGTTGACAATTTAATTTTATCGTCAGTTTGAAGATCAGGCAGATTAAACTGTGTGAAATAAATGACTGCAAGTCTTATTGTCTTCTGAGTCACTTCAGGTGTGTCAGCAGACCGTAGTTTCAGTGAAATCTGTGGGTTTTTAGATTATGGTGTAAGATGATGAACACTGCTCATAAAGCTGGCTTCATATGCTGTACATGATCTGCACTTGTATCCGTCTGGCCAGCCCGTTCTCACTCCCGGGGCGTACCATACCGAGGTTTTGTTGCGTCCCGCGGAACGCAAAGGTTATCTTCCGCGTTCTTATGGTACGCGTCGGGTTGTGGGTGAAATCCAGTGGAAGGACAGTCCCGTGGTAATACACGTTCCAGCCCTATTCTTAACCTTAACCAGCACAGAAATGACATAAAATTGTGTTTTCCAAAGCGTTTTTAAGAAAATGAACGAACATGTGTAGATTGAGTCCAAGCGGTTCTTGTGTTTTCTCATTTTTACAATCTCGTCATTTAGGAACGTGTTGGGTATCCGAAAGCGTAAAATGTTGGCGATTTGTCACCTAGCGTAAAATATTACGCGTAAGGAGTAAGAACGTGTTGGTCTGGCCGAGTGGCCCAGTTATGAAGTCATTTCTGTCATTACAGCCTGACGAGTCGGATACGTCATTGTCTTTGGAGCACAGCCAGTCAGAACAAGCAGAAGCATGTTATCATGTTCATCTCGTGTGTGTGTGTGTGTGTGTGTGTGTGTGTGTGTGTGTGTGTGTGTGTGTGTGTGTGTGTGTGTGTGTGTGTTTGCTCGCAGGTTTAAACGTTATTCGGTCATAAACTCATGCATGTAGCTTCTGGCATTTTGTAATCCTCATCAAGCAGTGCGTCCTGTTTGAAAGGTTTCCTCCTGCAGCCTGCTGTGGTTATTTTCAGGTCTTCTCTCAGATTCCCAGAACTGAAGTCAAATCGATCCCAACTTAATTACAGCCACTCAGCGGACGTGATGTGTTTACCTAATGATGGTGGCGAGGGTTGAGCAGGCCTCTTATTTTCTGTGGAGCTCGTTTAATGCTGGTTTTCATATTGTGCTCTGCTGAGAAACATCAAAGAAAGATCCTCTTTCACCACCTATCTGCTCAAACACGACTCCGCCTTGTCCTTCAAGGAACTTTTAAGGTCTTTCTGTACAGCACTCAGCCACAGAAACCACTGCAGACCAGCCCTCAGGAAGCATTACTGCAGCACTCAGCACCGACCAGAGGCACAGAGCCGAGTGGCATTAGTGTTGAGCTTTATCAATGTTTTATGTATTTTTCATAACAAAGAGGACGCTTGTATACATTATTATTAAAGCAGCTGTCAGTAAACCTGCTGCTAGAACTGAATATTTCAAAGGAAATCTAATAAGCCAGCCGTGGATAATGGTGAAGTGAGGCACAGATATGGTACCACAAAATGGGTGACCACTCTCCTTTGGGTTTTTTTTTTCCATCTTATAGATTGAATAAGGTAAAAAAATGATTAGATGATGATGAGATTTAGAACATCCTGAATGACCACAGAGACGAACTAGAGGAAGATCCAAATGCAAAACGGCCACACAGCTGGCTCTCCCCTGGGTTCTGTGTCTGTGAGGCCTGTTTTGTGTCCTTCCTCTATTATCCTTGCCACCAATCCAGCTGATTCTCTGTGAGCACTTTCTGAATTTAATTTAATTGAGTTCAGAGACAACATTTGTACAAATCAGTCCAAGTGTCACCTTTTGTTGGGATGTTTGAACAAGTAAAAAAGAGGAACTGTACTGTGTCATTTTAAAATGTTGCTTCCTTGTTTATGTGAAGAGCTTCATTATTTCCTGAATAATAATAATAATAATAATAATAAAAAAACTTAAATAACTGGAAGTTTGGGTGGGTTACCATCGGATATGACTTGACAGTCCACTTGAAGCAGTGTCTCGGAGACCTCACTGAGGGAGGCGTTTACAGTTTCGGTGGTCACATGGCATTGCAAAGCTCTGTGGTTACTAGTAGCCACAGTGCAGTGTGTGTGTGTTGTGAAATGACGTTGAGTCTCCAACTGTGAATCAGTGCTAAGGAATTAACCACCCTCATTCCTTGCTTTTGGGAACATGCCCAATCATGACGTACTCACTGGTTTTACTCCTGATTTAACCATCTAAATTCTTTTAGTCGGAGTCGATTAAATACCAAACGATTACTGTAGACTAAATCTAAAGTGTAGAAGTCTGTCATGTTTTTACTGATGAGTTGCTCCACATGGTTTATTCTTCTTGTCTTTGACATTGAGAAATGTGTTCACATGTCTCTCTTCTCTTCCTCCCACGCGTTGACATTTTGTCATGCTTTTATGAGAAACAACTTCTGATTTGCGGACTTCCAAATTCCTCTCACCTTTCTGCGTAACATAATTACTCTAGGTGGATCTTGTTTGTCTAGAATATGTTTGACTCGTTTTTCTTCAGTGACAAAAATGTCAGTACATAGATCCAGCACGTATCAATTTGATATGATACCGACGTTTGTATTTGTTTTTTCTATAATATTCAGCACTAATAGTCTGAGGTCAAGATTAACCTGTGTGCATGCGCCCTGTCACTGGGATCTCTAATCTTAATCTTTGTTGGGTTTTTCCCGTTGTGGTGGAGTAATGGTAAATAATTAACAGGCAACGTTACCCTTGAAAGGCACTTAAAGGTTAAGTTGTGCATGTCGTGAAATTACTCATAAAAAGGACAAAACTGTGTGACGACAACAACACGTGAACAGACTTCAGTGGTTTCCCATTACATTAACAGAGCTAAGAGGGCCCCACGTGTCTGCCTCTGTGGGTTGTGGTTAAAAAGGTTTTAAATCAGAATCTGAGTACTTTATTAATCCCTGAGGAAATCGTGTGGTAAATGTGAGAAAGAATAAGTTGGGATGAATTCCTGACGTAGTTTATAGTTCATATAGGCTTCGGCCTTTATTTCCGCTGCTCCCTGGGGCGGGTTCGTCTCTGATAGCATGTTGCTCTGCAGGTTTTCTCCTAACAGAAAGTCTCTCTGCGTGTATGTGCTGTGATGATCCCCTGCAACCGTCGCCAACGCCTCCCAAAGAAAACAATGACTTTGTTTGGGTGTGTTGTTCCACTGATAAAGCAGGTGAAACACTCCTGTGCTGCACGCCCACTCACCTGACAAAGGACGGTTCCCAGTTATCGGTACTGATTTGCACACACTCTCCTGGAAGTTGTGAGACCCAGAACCAAATGTCTGACTCTGCAGGTGGGACACGTCTGTGTTTTTGGCCTCTATTCGTTCTTTACTACATGAGGGCAGATGTCTCAACAGCAAATGTAGAGTCCAAAAACTGAGTTTTGTTATGTTTCACCTCGGGCAGTATCGCCATCAGCAGGGTTTTGTTTGTTGTTAAACCAGACTGAACGTCACTTTGCTGTCATCTGCCCAAAAGATGTCTACGACTTGTTTGTGTGTGATATCGAGGACGATTGAAAGCACGGGAAATGACACAGAGCGTTTTTTTTTTTTTTTTTTTTGGGGGGGGGGGGGTTTGAGGAGCTCCGACTTGTTTTAATTCTGCATATGTTATGAGTTTGTCATTTTTGTTAATCTCATAATGATCTGTACAGCTTTCCTCTGTGCACTTGGTCAAGACTTCTCCCGTCACAGATTTTCAAACAAAATGATTTTAAAAGGGGAAAGCAGCAGCCCAAATATGACAAAACTGTAAACCTTCTCAAGCTTTCACTGCTTCTAATCACCAGTTTTACTTTTTAAGTGAATTAAATGACTTTGTGTGTCAATATGCAGGGGTTACAGCTAAAATGCTTTATGAGTGGGAATATGAGAATATTTTAAATGCTCAAACACTTTTCAGTATAGAAAATGTTTGTGCAGAAAAGGTTTCCCCATAAAGAACTTGAAGTGTGTGTCCTTCCTGCCGTTATGACCTTTTAATGACTTTGTTCTTAGAAATGAGCACGTCCCTCCGACTTCATCTGAAAGTCCATCTTTTGTCTTTTAAATCTAATTGTAGCCACAAGGAGAAAACAACCTCAATGTGTTTTTCAGTGTACAAAATGTACTATAGGAAACAGACGATCTAGGAAGTCAATGCTATGCTGCTGCTTAACATTCCTGTGATTGACTAGGAACCTGACCCTGCTGTATATCTGTGACCTTTTTAATCACGGAAATCTACTTTCCCCCAGCTAGGCATGTTTTCGAGGAACTGACCCAGAACACGTGCACAGGGAAAGAGCTGACTGTAACTTTAAATCACTAATTGTGACCTTTTTAAAGTTAACCAGGGTTTTACTTTTAGAGATATTTGAGCAATGTTTGTTCCAGCCGCCTAAATCCTAGACACAGTCCACACGGATCAGTACCAGGGAGATAACACTACTAGCTGTTATCTCAGGTGCAGTTTGAGGTGTTGCATCCTGAGAAAAAAAAAAATACACACACACACACCTACCTTTTGTTGGAGTGTAAAAGGGTTTTTTCATTCCTTTTTGCTCAGTCCCATCTCCCTGTTCTTCAGTTAGAAATATGTGGTTGGCGGCGAACGTTATCAAACTAACCAGACAGATGTGGCTTAATTTGGTTCACAGCTGTGACAATCTCTGCTTACTTATGCACATGTGATCAGGACCTCACATAAAAAACTCTGGAAACATGAGAAGTGTCAGATTTATTTATTTATTTGGGGGGGCGGCAGCTCAAAGTAAGCTGGATGTGACAAAGGATCTTATGGTAACTGGTAGATGTTTTGGTAACCCTAGTCAAACCATTTATTGATTTTTATTTATTTGGACTCTGTCCCTCTATTCCTTCTGTAAGTGTTCTCTTATGATTTTTATCAAATGTATTTTAAATGTATTAATCTTATTCTAATCAGTATGATTGATGAAAATAAAGGACAATGTTGTAATTTTTACTTTAACATGATTAGGCAGTGCTGTGTCATGTCTAAATGTGATGCTGCTGCATAGCTTTGACTCTCATTACTGGAGGACATTGATAATGGCAGAATCAGAAAATCAAAATTAAAACATTAAAAGGTAGATATAAAAAAAAAAAAAAATTTTTTTTTCGTCATTTGCACCAAAATAAGCAATTTCAGCAACACTACACAAACAATCTTGTATTTACAAGAAAGTCACCTTTGAGTAGATGTGTCCATTTTATTCCTGCTGGTAATTGTCTGCCCCATGTTAAATATTATCATGTGTATATACCTGGAAATATTGCCATGCATTACAAATTCTGAAAACTTTTCTTTCCCCTGACTTGGATGTTAAAGGTAAGCTTTAGAGCTTTTTCCTCCAGGGAAGATTGAAGTGCTTGTTAAATGTCACAATGTCTATTTTGTTATTGCGCTGCTGCAGAGTTTCACCACCAGATGTCGCCAGATTCTGTAAAATTGGCTCATTCGGTTAATCTCCATCTTCTTCTCCCTCCAGCTGAGCGGTTGCCTCATCCTAGCCGTCTCCATCTACCTGAGAGTCAGCAAGGGTGGAAACCAGGTGAGCCAGTGATGGACTTTAAAGAGACTGCAGTATTGCATAGATGAGCACAGAAGTGCATGTTCTAAGGCTTTGTGCAGGCGATGGTGTAGTATAGTGGTGTGACAGTGGGTCTCTTCAATGGATTCCAGATGATGTGTGGACCTCTCATACAAGAATAAGTCTTTACTGTGTTTATATCATCTGTGGTAACACTCAAAAGGTGACTTTGTTTCATTCTTCAGGGAGAATATGTGGTAAATAAAACTTACTGTGATTCCAGCTTTGCCTTCAGAGCTTTATGTATCGCATCAGAGCTACTCTCATGGTCAGCAACCAGGACCAGTCATCTGAAACGTGCACTCACTTCACATTGCCTTTATCCTTGTGTATTTTCCCATCTGTCACTCAGACATTCATCACATTTTCTCTGATCACACGTAAACTATTCCATAAAGACAAACTTCAACATCCTCTCTAACACATATAGGTGCTTTTAAAACTTTAGATCAACCTTTGACTTTGCCTTTGACTTCCACCTCATCTGTCCACAGATCACTGATCAGTACTTCCCTGCAGTCAACCTGATGATTGCCATCGGCACGATCATCATGGTTCTCGGCTTCCTGGGCTGCTGTGGAGCCTACAGAGAGAGCCGCTGCATGTTGCTGCTGGTGAGCATCACATTTTGATTATTTTGGGAATGTTTTTGGAGGGAGGCGAAGCAAAACACATTACTTAGTTAATGAAACCTACACTGAGGGATTGTACCGACACACATACCTGATGTTCAGTAACTGAAACTTTTGCCAAATGCTGGTGGGTTTCTATCTATGTTGAAGTTATTTCAGCTAAGTTGTAAGATTAAAAAACTGAAATATGTTGGTTTGTTACTATGACACAAATGTTTTTGTCAATTAAAAAGATGTGTGAACTTTAGGTGGACAGAACACACATTTTGCTTAACTTTTCGCCTCAGCAAGTCTTACAAAAATTGTTGATCTATATCATGTGTGTTCCCTCAGTTCTTCATCTTCCTTCTCATCATCTTCATCCTCCTGGTGGCAGCAGGCATCGCAGGAGCTGTGAGCCAGAATAAGGTAAAAATAGTGACTATGTGACTACTTAATTTTATTTTTGATGAGGCTCAAACGTCAAGTTGCGTTTCTGTTTGCAGATGGAAGACTGGGTGAACAAGCAGTTGAAAGATATGTTGCCACTTGCAAAACAACCTGACACGGTGAAAAGTGACCTGAAGAATCTGCAGAAAGATGTAACTAACACACACAGTTTTTCTTCAGTAATACAGAAAGACTTTCCTAGACGCAGTCAATCAGATACACGAGTTAACCTAAATCTTGAAACACACTTGTGGTATTTGAATGTGCTGGTATTATACAGGGTATCTCATTGTATTTACATTTCCTGAAGCCCAACATGTAACCCAAAAATGAATAACCAGTTGCCTGCTGCTCACACATGACCAGGGGGAATAAACTAAAATGCTGGGACATCAAATTTAAGATGAACTGCGCCTGAATACAGATCTACACGTCATGAGATTGACTGTGCATACTGCACACATCCACCAGAGGGCACTGTGCATTCAACTGCCTGCAAGTCTGTCAGTGGTATGATGCAATGTAAATACATGGTGACAAATGTCAGTTTCCCAACCCTGAGGCATCTCTATCAGGTCTTGAACATCCCACGGAGCACTATTCAAGTGATCATTCAGAAATGGAAGGAGTATGGCACAACTGTAAACCTACCAAGACAAGGCCGTCCACCTAAACTCACAGGCCGAACAAGGAGAGCGCTGATCAGAAATGCAGCCAAGAGGCCCATGGTGACTCTGGATGAGCTGCAGAGATCTACAGCTCAGATGGGGGAATCTGTCCATAGGACAACTATTAGTCGTGCAATGCACAAAGTTGGCCTTTATGGAAGAGTGGCAAGAAGAAAGCCATTGTTAACAGAAAACCATAAGAAGTCCCGTTTGCAGTTTACCACAAGCCATGTGGGGACACGGCAAACATGTGGAAGAAGGTGCTCTGGTCAGATGAGACCAAAATGGAACTTTTTGGCCAAAATGCAAAACGCTATGTGTGGCGGAAAACTAACACTGCACATCACTCTGAACACACCATCCCCACTGTCATATATGGTGGTGGCAGCATCATGCTCTGGGGGTGCTTCTCTTCAGCAGGGACAGGGAAGCTGGTCAGAGTTGATGGGAAGATGGATGGAGCCAAATACAGGGCAATCTTGGGAGAAAACCTCTTGGAGTCTGCAAAAGACTTGAGACTGACCCTAAACATAAAGCCAGGGCAACAATGGAATGGTTTAAAACAAAACATATCCATGTGTTAGAATGGCCCAGTCAAAGTCCAGATCTAAATCCAATCGAGAATCTGTGGCAAGATCTGAAAACTGCTGTTCACAAACGCTGTCCATCTAATCTGACTGAGCTGGAGCTGTTTTGCAAAGAAGAATGGGCAAAGATTTCAGTCTCTACATGTGCAAAGCTGGTAGAGACATACCCTAAAAGACTGGCAGCTGTACTTGCAGCAAAAGGTGGTTCTAGTATTGACTCAGGGGGCTGAATAATTACGCACACCCCACTTTTCAGTTATTTATTTGTAAAAAATGTTTGGACTCATGTATGATTTTTGTTCCACTTCTCACGTGTACACCACTTTGTGTTGGTCTTTCACGTGGAATTCCAATAAAATTGATTCTTGTTTGTGGCTGTAATGTGACAAAATGTGGAAAAGATCAAGGGGGCCAAATACTTTTGGAAAGCCTCTGTATTGTGACAGGCTGAACAGCAATAAGGGCTTTACTAGAACTATTACACTAGTTCCAATCCTATTTGTATTTTCTTCCCAGCTCAAGTGTTGTGGTCTTGTGAACGGAAAGACAGACTGGTCTCCAGATCCATTCCCAGAATCCTGTCGCTGCAACGTCACCAACAGTCCCACCCCTGTCCCCGGTGCTGAGTGTGGCTCAGAAGGTTACTACAGCACGGTAAGGCTGTGACTGCTGAACACTGGATTGAGCATCCCAGCAGGAATCTGATTTCACTTTATATCTGAACAAGAAATCCACACTCTTACTTTACTCTCATCGCTGAGACACAGTTAAATGAACCATAATAACCCACGCTGCTCTGCTCTCACCCTGCAGCCCTGCTCCACCCGAATCGTCAACCTGATGAAGGAGAATATGGTGATAGTGCTGGGAATTGCCTTCGGCATCGCCGTCCTGCTGGTGAGCTGACACATACAGTCACCACATCACTTCAGGGGACATTTGAGTTCACTCGATTAAAAAGTCATACTCTAATTTTTAAGTTTTTTTTTTTCTCTTGATAGAAAAATTGTAGAACATGCAAAAAGCAGATTAATTAATTAATTGGCATTAAGTCAATTTTATTTATATAGCGCCAAATCACAAAAACAGTTGCCTGGGGGTGCCTGATTCCTCTTGTAGAACCAGGTTTAGGGAGCGCCAGCTGTCTGCTGCGACCAGCTGGGGGTGAGGGGGAAGGGGATGGGGCAAAAGACCCGCCATGTGGAAGAGACCCAAAGATTAACAATTACCATTTTTATATTTTCTTTTGTCTTATTTTATTAAAGTTTTAATAATGAGTCATTTGTTGTTCCTGCAGATTTTCGGCTTGGCTTTCTCCATGGCTCTCTACTGTCAGATCAGCAAGAAGGACGGACCTACCACCAACGCCTGAGGCACCATCATCTCTGCCCAAATGTAACCACAATATATCCTCTGCTAATCTAACTCATCCTGTGCTTTCACTGTGAAGAAGCGCACTGAGATTAAAGCCTCTTATACACTAGTATGGAGTCCCAATGGTTACCAAAAAATACACTCTATATAATCTGTATTTTGTGTAAAAGGCATTATGTTACCTGAAATGATAAAATAGTTTGTGTCTGAGAAGCAGGCAGCTTTAGAAATTACCCAGTAAATGCAAAGTAAATAACTGTAATATAATTAACTGGTGTTGATTTAGAATTTCCCAAACCTTTAACTGTTATGAGTATGTTGGTTATGATTTGATTGTGTATTTGACGATGTACGGAAGCCAATTTAAGCCAAAAATATTTAGTCAATAGCCAAGTTGGTGCACAAAATAAAAATTAGTTTCTCATGTTCTCTTAAAAGTGACTTTTTGCTTGTTTGTCACGTTTCCTTTTTTTTTTTTTTTTTTTTAAACTTTTGAAAATGTCAATCTGGTTTATATGGTTTATTTTATTTTTTTTTAAGGTAAGTGTATAGTCTGGATTTTTCATTTTAGTTTTTGTCTGTTTTTTTATAATCATATTTCTGGTTGTAACTGGCTTCCATATTATTTATATTCTTTTGTTTGTGTTTGTTTGTTTGTTTTTTTTTTTTGTTTTTTTTTTTGAAAATTATTGCAAAGACAATCCTCAGGAAGTTGAAATTGTTCTAACATACCTCTCAGTAAATCTCGCACTCAATCATGGTTATTATTGATATAAAAGTTGTTTCTTCTTTCTCCTGTTAAAAAACTTTCACTGGGTAATAAGGCATGGTGGGATTTAGGTTTGGTTTTTGGTTTTTTTTGGTTTTTTTTGTTTTTTTTGCGCGGGGGGTGTCTTGTTTGTTTTTATATCAAATGTCAAGCTTCTCAAGTGTTCCAACATTTGCTTAATTTGCTTCATTTATTTTGTAGTCCATTTTAGGAAAGATGTTTAAAAAAACAAAACAAAAATAAATTCAGCCAACTAAATAAAACTTTCACGTATCCCATAATTATTAAGAAAAACTGAATCCCGAGAATTTACAAGTTTTTGTTTTGTTTTCCCATGGAAGCATGAACGTCAAAAAAAAATGTGATTGATTTTTTTTTTTTTTAAAACCAAAGATTAATGTCCTCAGGCCTGAGGATGCTCAGTGTTTGCCTGGATGAATCTGCTTTGTTCCTGATGCTGTTTAAAGTGGTTTTAATCACTATATCACCTGTCAAACACAATTTAAAATAAATAACAATTTAAACAAATCAAGAAGGGAAATTCAGATTGAAGATAAATGTTCTTCTCATGGGCCATATACAATCTAACCAAAGGTAAGTTTGTTTGTTTTTTGTTTTATTTTTTATTTTTGTCATGAGTTTGAGTTTTATGGTAGTACCAGCTGATTTGCTTTAATTGTATTCAAGAAATGCAGAACATTTTACTGTGACAGGAAGTGGCCTGTTTCCGCACACTGCTCACATTTCCTTCCTTCACTTCCTTCTCATTATAATTGCAAGGAACAGAAACCTTCCTAATGTGTTTTTACTTTTACTCACTCTAATCAACTATCAGATGGAGAGATCAAAGTGAGTTAATGATGGACTTGATCTGAGAAAGAAAATTCTAATATATTAAACCATTTTTATTAATATCATTATGGAGTTGTCACATTTTTGTGTTTATAAACACAATTTATAAAAAATGTAACAATAGAAATGACATTTAGAATTCCAAGTGGATATCACACAGATTCTGGTTACTCCCAATAATTCTGAAATCGGATAAAAAAAAATCTACCTTTGTACATGGACAGAAACAGGACTTTTAAACCCAAAATAAATTAAGTTGTGGAATGCATTTCCAAAGCTTGATGCCTTAACTATTTACCCAATAAAGACAAAATCTGACAACCTTCCCTGTGAGTTCTGACACCTCAGTATATAGAAACATTTGTTTATTTAGCTGCATGTTCCATGCGAAATGATGTGATAGCTCTGTTTAGCTTAGCAATTCAGTTATACTTGTATAGTGGCAAATCACAACAGCAGTCGCTTCAATGTGCTGTGTTGTAAGTTAAAGACTAGGAATGGGAATCGACGAGAACCGTTCCTAGTAGTCAAATTCCTTGGAATCGTTAGTCTGTTTGCCTATCGGTACTGCTTATTGGTTCTTGTACTTGCGCTGCTATCAGCTGATTTCAGTTATCGAGGGAGGAAAATAGCAGGATAGTTTATAGCTGTAGCTCAGGTGGCAGAGCAGGTCAGCCACTAATCAGAAGGTCGGTGGTTCAATCCCAGGCTACCTCCTGGCTGCATGCCAATTATCCTTGGGCAAGATACTAACCCCGTGTTTGCCTACTGGTGGTGGTCAGAGGGCCCGGTGGCACCAGTGTCCGGCAGCCTCGCCTCTGTCAGTGCGCCCCAGGGCAGCTTTGGCTACAACGTAGCTTGCCATCGCCAGTGTGTGAATGGGTGAATGACTGAATGTAGTGTGAAGCGCTTTGGGGTCCTTAGGGACTAGAAAAGCGCTATACAAATGCAGGTCATTTACCATAGCATGGATGTGGACCTTACTTTTATTTTTATTGCACAAAAGGACAAGAGCATAATGTTGAACTGCAAACTGCATCCAATGACAGAAACAACGGCATTATTCTGCTAACTAACACTTTCAACTATTTTTCTCCCTGGAGTAATTAAATAGCGTAGTGCATTACTTTTAATAAATGTGTTCTGTGTAATATCTGTAACCGGAAGGTCGCCGGTTCGATCCCTGGGCTCTCTGTCCTGGTCGTTGTGTCCTTGGGCAAGACACTTTACCCTACCGCCTACTGGTGTTGGCCAGAGGGGCCGATGGCGCGATATGACAGCCTCGCTTCTGTCAGTCTGCCCCAGGGCAGCTGTGGCTACAACTGTAGCTGCCTCCACCAGTGTGTGAATGTGAGAGTGAATGAATAGTGGTATTGTGAAGCGCTTTGGGTGCCTTGAAAAGCGCTATATAAATCCAATCCATTATTATTATTATTATTATTATTATTACATTACTTTTTTGAGTAATGACCCAACACTGAGGAAATGCATCCAAATGACAATGACAATGTGCAATGACAATAAAGTTGAATTCTAATTCTAATTCTAATCCTAATTTGCACAAATGTAATGTTTGATATGCTGCTTAGTAATGGTGGTAACGCTCAAAGCGGAGCGGGCAAGAACCCAATGAGAATCAATAAGAGAACTGATAAGGAATCGAATCCTTAAGTGATATCGGTAAAAAGGTATCAGAGTCGTTAAATTCATCTAAATTCCCATCCCTAGTAAAGTAATAACAATAATACATACAAAATCCCGACAAATATATGATGCCCTGTGAGCAAGTGTTTTTTGAGAATTAAAGTACCATCAAGAAGAAACTTCCAGCAGAACTAGGCACCTTAAATAACTTAACTCGTACCTCGGGAAGGATGGGGTTTGTGGGTGCCTTTTTAGGTGATGAAGTTTAAAGTTAAATATTGGATTAACTTCATACAGCATTTGGTTACTGTTTAAATTACGGAACTTACTTTTCAGGCAGATCTTCAGTAGGATTATGTTAACATAACTTAAAGATAACGAGTTAAAATTTTGTTTTCATGTTACTTCAGCTCATTACTGTTTTCTGGAGACCCGTGAAGGTTTTACTTTAACTTAACTGTAGAGAGCAGAGGTGATGCTCGAGTCTGTTGGAAGCTCTGGACACATCACATATAGCAGAGCTGGACACACTGGCTTTATGCTAGCTAATTTAACTAATGTTAACCTTCAAAATATATGATGCTAGTGGACCATTTAACGCTCATGCACCTCCTGAAGCTCCATTGTTCCACTGAAGGAAAAAGCACCCCAGATTAGTGATGTGCAAATCATGAAAAGTTAAGTGATTCTCAATACTCGAGAATCACTTTACTGACTCGTGAATCATGTTTCACACCCCAACTGACTCACTGACTCATCCCTGTTGCTGACTAATTTTATTAGTAGAAATATATCTAGCTTACCATTAAAATTGTGGGGAAAAAACAACAGCAAGTTTCTTAACAAAAACATTTCTGCTCTGAACTGGAAGAAAAAACCCTCCTTTCCTGAGCTAAATCGTAGCATAAACAAATAACTCACTTACTCACTCACTCACTCCTAGGGTTGCCAACCGTCCCTTAAAAAACGGAATCGTCCCGTATTTAGAAACAAAAGTACATGTCCCGTATTGAGCTAATAAGGGATGCACTTTGTCCCATAATACAGTGAGAATCAAAAGTAGTCTATAACTTTTAATGGAATTAACGCTTTGTTTTAAAACATAATTCCCAGCCCCTCTCCTGCTTTGTGACCAATGAGCTGGCAGCACACTTATGACAATTCGAGTATGACAATTCAGATTACCGCTCATCTCATTGGTCGAGGAAAGGTCGCTTGCGGAGAAAATACCGGAACACAAAAGATGACCACAACAAGAAGCATGGCCAACAGGGAAACAAACGCCGACACTGCAGTGCAAGTCTCGGATGACAGTACACCTAATGCTGGGCAGACACTCGCTTGTGTCCAGATCACGCCGTCTTTTTCACCGACGTTTACGTGTTTGCGCGTGAGCAGTGTGAGCGCCTGTGGTGACACCCTCACGAGCGATTGATGATCGGGAGCTGGTCGTGAGGTGTTAATCACTTCTCGTTACCCCACGTATACTACACGACGCACGATGAAGGCCAAAATCGGTCCGATCACTCAAAAATCGGCTCAAAATGGGCCTAAAACTGCACAGTGTAAGCCCAGCATTAGAGCAGCAATGTTTGTTTCCCTCAGAGAAAGGGAAGAATGGGAAAAGGAAAACACCTGGCTGGAAAAAGTTAATATGGGCATGTGCAGTGAATATCAGCGCTATGTGGCCAGAAGTGTGATAATATAACTTATTTTGTGTAATAAACAACTGCAAGGATAGATGATTACAACAAATTGATGACTAATACATAAAAGTAATACATAGATGAATAATGATGATAAGTTAAGATGCGTAATCATGGGAACAAGCGGGTTTACAAACAGGAGCAGCTGATTAGCATTAGAAAAGCTGAAATAATACCTTAGCTGAAGCCAATTGTACTAAATGCACTAAATGTGCACTGTTACAAGAATGTTTTTCTTTCTATTGTTTTCTATTATTTTAAGTTAAGCAGGACAGAGTTCTTTTAAAGAAAGATTTACTTATATTCTCAAAAGTTAAGCATGACAGGCTTCTGTTTAAGAAAGAGACCTGTTTTAGTGTGTTAATGTTGTCATTTTGAGCTAAAAATAAATGGCTAAATGATCATTTGTTTCACATGTGTTCATATCACAAAGAATAGAATATGCATCTACTTAAATCAACTTCAAGTCAAATGGTTAAAAAAATAATTTCACACACAAAAAAAGAGCTAGAAAATTCACCACACTGGGAAGGGTGAAGACAACTGGGTCGCCCGGCCCTGGCCACGAGGTGTCCCTTATTTATTTTTCAGGGAGTTGGCAACCCTACTCACTCCCTTCTGTGATGAATCGTAGCATAAACGAATCACTCAGGACTCACTCAACGTCAGTCCTGGCTCACAGCTCCTTCTTCTTCTTGGTTGGCAACCAATGTTAAGGCGCATTACTGCCCCCTGGCTCACAGCTCAGTGGACATTTAAAAATATATATATATTTGACACATTTGAGGAAAATACAAATAAAAATAAATAAAAATAAATAAAATAAATGTTCCCTTTAGAAATCTTTTTTTGTGCTTTTTTTTACTCTATAAAAATAGTTGTTTTTCTTTTTCAATCACTCATCTTAGCAGTAGGATATACATGAAAAGAGAAATAAATTAAGTTTGAGTGAAAATGTACATTTTTTGCACTCTCTGGGCAACTGCCTCAGTGACTCAAATGACTCAAAAGAACCCGATTCACTTTGGTGAGTGACTCATTGAAACTCAATTCAGTAAAAAGAATCAAATTTACCACCATTACCCCAGATCATTATGGCGCCCCTGTGCAGGATGGTGCGTAGAAAACATCTCACGTTGGATCTGCTTGTCTTGCCATGTTGGAAACCATCAGGACCATCAAGGTTGCATTTTTGCTCATCAGAGAATAAAACTTTCTTCCACCTTTCAATGTCCCATGTTTGGTGCTTTCTTGCAAAGTCCAAACGGTCAGTTCTGTGGTGTTCAAGGAGACAAGGCCTTTGGCGTTTTTTGTTTTTGAAGCCCTTCAGTCTCAGATGCCATCTGATGTTAAGGGGCTGCAGTCAGCACCAGTAACAACCTTAATTTGGGTCAAGGATTGCCCAGAGTCTTGACAGACAGCCAACTGGATCCTCCGACTCAGTGCTGTGGAAACTTTTTTGTCTTCCACTTGACTCTTATATTCCATAACCCATTAAAAAAATTCCAAATGACTGTCTTACTGCTTTCCACCTCAGATGCGATGGCATGCTGCCAGAGACCCTGCTTATGCAGTTCAACAACCCGACCACGTTCAAAAAGGGAACTTAATTTTGTTTTTGCCATCAGAACATCATAACAGTGTGACTATCAGACAGAAAATGAAAATGAATCCATATTTTTGCACAGATTTGTCGAAATGGAAAATCTGTAATTGATGTTATATAAAAATGCTATCATTAGTCTCATTATATATGAGCTTATTAATCAAGGCTAAACCATTTAGATCTGTATCTATAAATTACATAATAATAAGGCATAATGCTTTATAAATGAAGTATTCACCATTATCTCACTAATGCTTAATACAGTGCGGTTATGTGTATGTTTCAGTGTATAACTACCATCGGGTTAGATATTTAGCGAGGGATTGCAGATGAAAAGAAATAACAGTGTTTATTAATCTACACTGTGCCTGTTAAAAATAAACAAATAAAAATCAAAATATGTAATGTAATATAACAAAGTAAGGAATTTTTTTTAAATATTCATTTTATACTTTACACTTTCAATCTGAGTACTTCGGGTGTTTAAATTGACAGTGAAGTTTTTATCTATTTCTTGACATCCATAATTAAAGAAAATAAGATAGCTGACTACCAAACACAAATGACAGGACAAGCAACACCACTGTTCTTAGTGAGTCAAAGCCAAACTGTGTGATGGCGTGAAATTTGGAAACTAAACCTGGCCCCTCCCCTTCTGCATAAAATTTAAATTCCTCAGAAAGAAAACCACCTGCGTTCAGCAAAAACAATCAGGAAGATGTTGCAGAAACAGCTTGGAACAGTCAGAATAACAAAGCAGCCAAGCCTTATGGTATTAATTGCTCATAGAACAAGAGTTACGTCTGGTATCTCACAGCCGCAATGGATGTTTACACTGCACACGTCATTACCACTGTTTTGGCTAATGTGGCTGATTCCAGAGATATTTTTATATTTCTGCCCAAATCTGTAAATGTCTGCTGGGAAACAACCAGGGACACTGTTTATGACTGTTTCTCTAACACACATAAGTTTGGCCATAAACACACTCTGCTGGTCCATCCCCTGCAGCTATTTTTAACCTAAAGTCAACACAGCACCCAGTTTAATGACTCTGCTGGATTCCAGTCTATTTTACTCCCGTCCTGGTACAGCACTTACTACAAAATAACACTGATATGAAATTGAAATATTATTTTGATAAGTCCAAGCAAATAACTTGATCACAAATATACAAATCAAACTGAAGCCAAATTAACATCTTATTGTAGCTGACTTTGTGCATCAAGATCATGGAATCCAGTTTTCCATAGCAAAACTGCATCAATCACAGCTAGAAGATGTTCCTGGAATCAAAACATAGGTAAAAATAATGGAAAATGTCCAATTTAACTTCGGCTAAAACATCCTTCCAAAAAAATCCTGGAAGCAGTGGTCTAAATCAGTTCAAAAAGATAATCACTTTTGGAGGTCGTATGTGCAATGGCCCATAACAGTATTTCTTAAAGACACACACAAACTGATCCACTAATATAACAACCTTCTGGTGTGTGCTGAGAGTTTGTTATGTGTGAACACATAATGACAATAAAGGATACTTCTTCTTCTTCTTCTTCTTCTGGGTAACGATAATTGCAAGAAATTTAAGTTTGCAGCTCACCTCTCCAGGTAGAACGATGATTTATGCTCAGTTGAGATGCTTTTGGCCCATCACATGCTGTTCTGAACAGTGCTGAAAGGACAGAAGGAAAAGGTGAAGGAAGGAGTTGTGGAGCAGGATTGTTGGGTCTGCAGTTGCCATGCAACAATGAAGTTGGGCTGTTGCTGCTGTGTTTGTTTATGGTGTAAAAATAAACACGTTTTCACATTAGAAATGCTATTTGTCTTCCCTGTGTCCTTTCATCACACTTGTTACTTATTTTCCTCCCTTTCCTCCTGTCACTTTCACTTTCTTTTTCATACTTCTTTGTCATTTACCTTCCTGTTTTCTTACTGACATTCATATCTCTATTTCAATCACCCTCCACGCTTAATTAGTTGTTATTGTTACCTGGAATAACCTCTCCTCTCCTCTTCTCCCCTTCTCTCTTTTCCTCTCAGCCAATCTTCCAAACTTGGTCATGTTATTCGTTCTGCCGCCAAACACGGAGCTTTAAACAACATCCATCACACAGGAGTGGGCTCTGGACTTTACTCTGTTTCTATTTTAACTGGACTCGCTCAGACAGCAGCCATGGCTCGCTGCAGGAGCTACTTGCGAGGACTTGCTATCTGTGTTACTGTGTTGCTACTGGTAAGCACACTGCTAATTGTTAACTGCATGTTTGTGTGGGCTGTCGGAGGTGATTGGATCTTTAAAAAATGAAAATTTTAAAAAGGTAATCTTAAAAAATTCTAATGGTCTAAAATCTTAATCTACTATTTTTGAAATACACAGTGTGTCATTCAGGTGTTGATTACATGTGCTAATTAATGAAGTTCAATGTAACTACAGTCTTGTAAACAGAAGGTGAAAAGCAGAAACAGTATGTTTGTTTTTAACTTTTTTTCTTTTACTTATAATTTTGTAGACATGTAATTATTTTGCGTTGAGCACGTACAAAATTTAGTTTCATTCTGGGTTCAAATACATATTTGTGATAATTGTGGTAATAACTAGCAACTGCTTTCTGGTAGCAGGTGCAAGATTATATTTGTCTAATTTTTGGCAACTATTATATGTTGCGTTTAAATCCAATCAATCTTTATTTATAAAGCACTTTAAAATACCTAGCACAGGACCAAAGTGCTGTACATTAAATATGTTAAGAACAATAAAATAAAACAAAACAATAAAAATAAAACACATAATACATAAAAACTTAAAGCAGCCCTATATTTAAAACGAGAGAAAACAGCATAGAATCAACTTTTTTTCTTGTTTTTTTGGGTGAAGTATTTGTTTTCATGTATTCTTAATACTTATCTAAACATTAAAATATTTTAGGTGGTGTGTTATGTTGCCAAAATCTTGCACTGTGTGGTACTCAAAAAGATTTTCTTTTATTTAAAGTAAACATTTAGTCTTGATTTAATCTTTTTACTAATAAATCTCTCTTCACTACACTAAAACACTAAAATAATGTGGAGGTCTTTTAGCAACAATTTTAGAACCTTCACTTTTTAAGTTCATAAGAGGAAGGAAGGAGGCAGGGGACTAGGGAGTGTCATAACCACGGTCTAGGACGAAACAACAAAGATCCATGAGTACATCAGGAAGATGGCCTCACAACTGATAGTGTGCTTAGTGAATACCTCAGGCAGCAGAAACCAGAGAAAGGAGAGGAGCAAGAAGAGGAACCATCATGGGAGGACAAGCCCCTGCATGGTACAGTATGTACCACCAGGAGATAGAAGAAGTGGCTGATATCAAGAAATCCAACTGGTGGTTAAACAAAGCTGGACTGAAAGCTAGCACAGAGCCACTAACCATGGCAGCACAGGAAAAAGCACTAAGCACGAGATCCATACAGGCTGAGGTTTACCAAACCAGGAAAGATTCCAGGTGCAGGCTGTGTAAAGATGCCCCTGAGACAATCCAGCGAATAACAGCAGGGTGCAAGATGCTAGCAAGCAGGGAAACACTGAATGCCATAACCAAGCGGGTGCCATAGTATACAGGAACATCTATGCAGAGTATAGCTTGGACATCCCAAGGTCAAAATGGGATACACCCCTAGGGTGGTTGAGAATGACCGAGCTAAGATCCTGTGTGACTTCCAGATACAGACAGACAAACCAACCGGGCATAGCAGTGGTGGACAACCAAAAGAAGAAGGCCCTCAGTGAAAGATGTAGCTATGAAGCTGTGAAGTACCAACAGCTGAGAGGAGCTTGAGAAGATGTGTAGGGTGAAGCCAACAGTGGTCCCTGTTTTCATCCGAGCACTGGCTGCAACAAATCCCAGGAACAACCTCTGAGATTTTTATCCAGATGAGCGCAGTCCTAAAAACAGCAAAGGTACTGTGGAGGACCCTCAAGCTCCCAGGCCTCTGGTAGAGGACCAAGATCGAAGCAATTTTTTATATATGCGAATACATTTGTGTTATTAACAGAAATTTCATTCCACAGCTAGGCTGATGATATACTGCTATATGTGGTCTTTGCTCCTGATAATTCATGACCAATTGATGCCCTCCTTTTTAGATATAGTTTTAGATTTATTTAGGGAAAACAACCACATCTTTAAAGGAAAATATTTTCAAAATGTTTCTTATAACTTTTAAGTAGCTCAATACTTTTATTGCTTATTTTAACTGTTATTTTATTTATGTCCATTTTTTCAGTGTCTTTGTGCTTTCTTGTGTTTCAGTGAAGCACTTTTATTCTTACAAAACATTAGATAGAAGTAAAGTTGACCAATGCAAATCAAAACTTTGTAGAACAGACGTTGTCAAAGATTATCTTTGAGGCCCCAGCGTTGTTAATATAGCTCTTATCCATCAGAGAACAGTTTCACTTTCCATGTTACATTATAACTTCTTATACAGCAAGTTCATACACTTTTAAACCTAAAAGATTTAAAAAGTAAGTTTTAAATAAAATGTGGATAGAAAACTTGTTAGAGGTTCATTTTGTCCATTTATAAAATCTCTTTTCCTTAATTTACTGTTGTTTATTCACTCATTTGTTCTTCATATATTGCCATCGTGTTTCCCCCCTTTGCCTTGAGTCAATGATTTTATCTGCTTTTTTATTCCTCCTGTTGTACTTCCCAACTTCTCTTCAACACCTGCAATCAAATTTAATGCCTAAAATGACAATCTGTGGTATGATTACAGCAGCTTTTGTTGCCAGTTTGCAATAAATAGAGATTATTTCACAAACACTCCAACATGGGAATTTCTTTCCTGTTTCCTGCTTCGTTACGTATATATATATATATATATATATATATATATATATATATATATATATATGTGTGTGTGTGTGTGTGTACATATACTGTATACATTTTGCATCTCTGTGGTTGTGAATGCTGGGGCTCAAACTCAGGAGCTTACTTGGTGCTCCACTAAGTTTAAGCAACATCTAGAAATAATAGAAATAAATGTGTGAGTGTTTTTATTGTTTTTTTCTGTTCATTTAAACTGCGTAAGACAAGTTGCAGAGAGAATATTCACTAAGTAAGCCAACAGAGGCTGGGAATGTGGAAGTCAAAGAATGAGACAACCATGAGTGTTTAAGGTGTAGTTGGACTGTTTTGGAAAGTTTCAACTTGCTGACTGTGAGACAGATTACATTTGTGATATAAAGCTGTCAGAGTTCCCAGTCTCTCTGGGGAAGAGAAGGCATTTCACAGGAATGTTTCTGCTGTTAAAGACTTCCTGATCTGTGAACCCAACCAACAGCCACTTTTGTGTAAACCAGTTTGAGTCATTGCCTTTTACTATTTTTATTCTTTATTCATTTTTATTATGCAGGTGTCTGGGTTTGTGATGATTGGTGCTGCTTTTTCCCCCATTGATGATATACCTGTTGCAGAGGTAAAATGGGATTTTTTTCACCACACTTTTTTATACAAGAATCAACTATGTAGTGAAACAGCTCTAATTTCACATTATATTTCCTCAGACTCATAGTTGACATTTTATAACACAACTTCTACTTTCTTGTAAGATTCTGGTGCATACATTATCCACAATGCAACTGTGAGCCTGCCACTTGTAATGTAGCTTGGACTCTAGCACTGATAGATAGATAGATAGATAGATAGATAGATAGATAGATAGATAGATAGATAGATAGATACATAGATACATAGATAGATAGATAGATAGATAGATACATAGATACATAGATACATACATACATACATACATACTAATCAACGTGTATGATTTCCAAAGTTCTTTCTATTTTTTGCTAAAAACAGACTATGGTTAAATAAAGGCATATTTGAATATATATAATAATTATAATAATATAATTGTGTATTGCTGTGCTGTTATTAGTTACTGCATTTAGTAGTTATTTTATACATTTTCATTTTTACATATTTTATCTTTTATATTATTGCTAAATAGTACCCATCCCCCGTCATTTGGTTATAGTTTGCTTCCAAGTAGCCAGACCTTCTTGAAGTCTTTAGAGTGGTCTTTAATATAGTTTCCCAGGATTTCTGAGGGTCTTTCAAAGTTTTCTTTGGACACTGGCTGCTTTATCCTCACTTTCATTCCAGCCAGTATACTTGACAATTTTAGAGGATTGATTTCTTTTTTTAGCCACAGAAAACCAACTTAAGAATAATTCAAGCACAAAAAGGCACCTAACTCGAACAATGAATCAGTGTTATGTGACAATCAACTTCACCAATAAATTAATTTTCAGTAGCATCTTCAAGCACTTCATTACCGGAAGTGTGTCACAAACATGTCACTTTTTCCTATTTCTTTTGTTGAATCTATAAAAATGCCAAAGATGGCACAGTTTTACAGACATAAAATGATATTTTTGCACCAACAAGGTGATTCCCAGAGAGCTAGCAGCTGAAAACTTGGCATATCTCAACATGGTGTGCTATGTGTCCTTAAAATATCTGAGGAACCTGGACAAGGAGTGGGCAAAAGAAGTGCCAGGCCTAAAGACTAACAACAGCAAATGAGTGGTATCTCAAAGTCATGTCCTAAATAGGAAAAGGACTTGCAAGGATCTGGCACATAATCTAAAAGATGCATCTGGACCTTCTGCTCCACACTGCATCACAAGTGTGTGATTGTGTGTGAATGGGTGAATGACTCTATGTCGTGTAAAACACTTTGGGGTCCTTAGCGACTAAGTAAAGCGCTATACAAATGCAGGCTATACCATTTACCATTTCTGCTGATCCTGTTCATTGCCTCATTAGAAATGGTCTCAGATACTGTTCTGCATATTCAATAGTTGTTATTATAAATATTTGTTATTTATTCCTTTTGTTTAGGTTAAATAAAATATATTTGTTATCTGACGTTCTCTCTTTCAGTTGTTTGACCAGCTGTCCATTAGTAATGGCTTACTGGTCCTGCAGGTGTTTGGTCCACTCACAATGGTTTTGTCTGTTCTGGGCATATCTGCTGCCTCTTTGGACTACAAATCTTTGCTGTTGGTGGTGAGTAACACAAATTCATACATGTGTTTGTTAAAATAAGATAAGATGAGATAAGATAAGATAAGATAAAATAAAATAAACTTTATTAGTCCCACGCATGGAAAATTAGTTTTGTTAAAGCAGTAAAGCAGATAAGATAACATAAAATAAATTTGTACATTTTTTCTATGTACAAAGTTGCATAGAAAAAAATAGAGAACAAACACTGGAATAAGATATCCATAAGATACTGTACACAATAAAATAGAATAAAATAAAATACTATATGCAATCGAATAAAATAGAATACAAATGCTATATACAATTGAGTATAATACAACGATGCCAGAAAAAGAGTAATGCACTTAGTGTTGTTGCTATTGCACATGTGTGGATGTGTGTGTTTGGTCAGTTGAAGTCTTTGTTGTGGAGTCTGACAACAGTGGTGAGGAAAGACCTGCAAAATCTCTCCGTCCCACACCGTGGGTGACGCAGCCTGCCACTGAAGGAGCTGCTCAGTGCTGTCAGAGTCTCCTGCATGGGGTGAGAGATGTTGTCCAACAGGGATGACAGCTTAGCTACCATTCTCCTGTCACTCTCCACCTCCACTGGGTCCAGAGCGCATCCTAGAACAGAGCTGGCCCTTTTGATCAGCCTGTTCAGTATCTTCCTGTCCCCAGCAGAGATGTTGCCGCCCCAGCAGACCACACCATAAAAGATAGCTGAGGCCACCACAGAGTCATAGAAGGTCTTCAGGAGTGGGCTCTTCACTCCACAAGTTCAAATGTAGCATCTTTGTGAGGATCCTAGCTGATACAAGTATTCCCAACCCCTAATCCCTAATTGCATATATACGAAAACATAATTTTAACCCAAATTCTAAAGCTAAGTTTGAAGCTGCTGTCCCTAAATGAGGCTGACCCCCAAATGCCCCTGTGTTCCAAAAATGTCCTCACTACAAAGGTTATTGGTCCAAAGTGGTCCCCCAAAACATACACATACAAGTACAAACACACACACTAGAGTAGTGGCATTAACCTGTAATCTTTTTTCCAGTTTTCTGCTCTGACATTTGTGGAGTTTGTGGCACTAATGATCGTTGCCTCACCCCTGGTTCAGGTTCAAGCTCAGGTAACTACCTGTTCGTTTCACTTACTGTATTTTTAGACAGTCCTTGCTTTCTTGTCACCAGTGCCCCCTGGAGGTATGCAATGACTATGAAATATGAAACCGTTATCTTTGGGCTGTAAACTGACTAAATAAGTAATAAAGTAATACAGATGAAAGTTAATTACTCTTAAAACTCTGCTTGTGTTTGTGTATCACTCTTCAAACGTTTATATTATTTACTGTAGATGGACTTTGCCGTGGATGAATTGTTTCTCAATGTGACACCCCTACACAAAGCAGCAGCTGACATCCAGAAAGAATTAAATAAGCTTCAGACGTCGGTAAGTGAAACAAAGAAAAAAAATAAGGATAAAGAAATGAAAAAGTGATATAACTTTTTAGTTTTTCCTGTTGTCATAGCAACAACTATGACCTAATTTTATAGACATATATGACCTGAATGAGTAATTCAACACCAAGACTAATGATAACCTTGAGCTTTAACTGATGATAATATTTGTGTGTTTTCAAGGACTCCTGTTGTGGTTTGAGGAAATTTGAAGACTGGGATAATCAGCTTCCTTTTTCCTGTATCTGTACACCTCCTACAACCACCTATACCAGTGAGTCAAGGTATGTTAAGACTGGATTTTAGATAGATTAGCTGAATATTGAATTGTAGAGTCATTTTTTATCTAATTTTTTAAAATAATTTCTATTTCATACGTTTAGAAAATGTGTAATTTGCTTGAGTTTTTAGCTGTTTTTCAGAATAAGGTAGGGTACACCCTACAATATAGGGTCACAACAACAGAGGCGACTGTTGTTGTGATTTGCCACTGTATAAATAAAATTGAAATGAACTGAATATTTAAGTTTAATACATTTTTAAATTATTTAGCTGTCGATCAACGTCCCTACCCTTACCTATGGTAAAGAGCTGTGGGTAGTGACCACTCCCCCTGCGGCCCGGCCCCAGCGGAAGAAGATGGATGGATGGGTTGTCTTGGCTCTTAAATTTTGGCTTTCTGTTTTTGCCCACAGATCTCAGCCTGGTAATTCCAGCTCATATGAGCCTTGTGTGATGGTGGGAAGTAACCAGCAGTTTGTGCACTCCAAGGTAAATATTTGCTTCAGGGTTTTGTTCTTCTTCTATCATTAATTTTCACACAGTTCTACTATTTCCTCAGCATCTTTCTTTCTACAATTCTCCAGTGTTTTCTCCCTTTCTCTGGTTATTTTTTCTTTTTTCTTGCTCTCCTTTACTAGTTTCCCTGATTATCCTTTTTTCTTATGTTTTGTTCTATTTTACTATTTTCTATTATACTTTTAAATTTACATTTTCCATCTTCCCACTGTACATCTTCGATCCAGTGGCAGTCTGGTTTAGTCTTTCTATTCTTTAGTTCAGTTAATCTTTTATAATGTTGTTTAGTTATAAAGACAAACAGAAGCAAATAAACGCAAAGGGAAATTTGACTTATGTACGCCAAAAACAGACGTTTTTTTAATCATGTTGATTCTTCACCTTTATATTTTTGGCAGCCCTGTGGTCCCATCCTAAAGAGCTACCTGAGTTTCCCAGTCAAGCTCAGAATAGGAATCATTTCAGCTTTCGCCACCATTGCAGTAAGAAAAAAAACACTCAGCTTTTTTTTTTATCTTACTTTAAAACCAAGATCCATATCTTTTTTTTTAATATATAAAGAGTTGAAAAGAGAACAAACTCCAGCTGCTTGAAGAAATTAACAAATGCATGAATGCAAAAATTCTAAAATCTAAAAGTTATGATTGTAGATATGTTTGCATGATTGAGGAAGAGGCTATATGGTTGTTCTATACCCATATAAACGTGGTTTATATGGGTATAAAAGGATTAGAGGAGAAATTTAAGTTCATAGAAGTTCCCAAGACATGAATTTTAATTTCTGGAAATGTCTAGTTTATATATGTGCTTGTCTAGAATTTCTGGAAGAGTTTCTCTGATAGTGTCCATCCATTCTAAAACACTGGAAGTTTCAAGAAAAGCTTTTACTCTATGATTTCATTGCAAAATTGATTGTTTGGAAACAGGTTGACCCTAATGGTCCACCTGTGCAATCGCCTTGCAATCAAAATCGTTTGCTCAGATTCAGGGTGTTACACAGAAATTTGATTTCAGTCTCAACCAGCCAAAAGTGCAACAAGAAAAAGTCACCAGGCAACCACTGATTTTTCCCTTTTGCAAGGCAATTGCAGTGCAATTTTTACTGTGATGAATAATGATGTATAAAATATTATACACAGTGTGTGTGTGTGTGTGTGTGTGTGTGTGTGTGTGTGTGTGTGTGTGTGTGTGTGTTGCAGATAACAGCCATTGCTCTGTGTCTTGCTTTGGGTCTGGAGAAATACTGGAAGAAGCCTCCAGTTGAAACTACAGTCGACGACTACGACAGAGTGAAATACCAACCTAAACCTTCCCTCACCTGACCTCTGACCCCCTTTCACCCAAAATTAAGACAACGATACTAATGCGCTTCCACTCTCTGGGCTTCTGGTGCTGATGAGATGGTCCAGAATGAACACATGGTGCTTTATGGAGCTGTTGCCTGAAAATGCTAATTTGGTGTATATGGTGTAAAACATTTCCTTCTTGAAATGTTCATCTTGTGTTTAATGGAAGGGGATCAAAACAATAGATACTTAAACTTTTCATTGTAGCAAAATACCTTCATGTATTCAGTAGCAGAAGCAAATTTCTAACAGCAGCATCCTGATGGCATCAGCTTTAACCACTACAGCTGCTTCCCATATCAACATGGAAATTTCTGTTACTGTTTAAACATGCTTCTGGTATCTAGTTAGCACAAAGCAGGTGCCATCATTAATCATTAATCTTTAGCAGCTAACTTGTGTTTTTGCAGAATGACAGTCTTTTATGGGCATAATCATTGTTTTTTGGAGGAAAATCTAAAGGATGTTAGTCTGTTTTAGACATTTTTTAAAAATAAATTGGCAATCGCTCTATTTGCAAAAACTAAAATAGGAAGTCTGGGTTTTTGGGTCTAGAATCAGTTATAAATAATTATTTTAGTCTTTTAACTCCATTCAGAGGACTGCTTTAGGACTGTTTTGCAAATGCCTCTGGACAAATTGCCACCATTTTCAGAACAATCACAGTAACAGAGGGTGTAACGGCTCTCCTGGATCTGCTCCATATTAATTCTGATTGGTTGTAAAACTACATTTTTTGGGGTAGGCAAATGTTATTACAGGAGCATATTTAAACAGTGGCTTATTTGTCTTGTCTCACAACTATTTAACGGAACTTGTGACCAGTTGTGATGGCATGCCACACATGGTAAGCTCCACACCTCATCACCCGTTGATTCAGTCACTACTTTAAAATATTCTATTTATTGTTCAATATCGTTTCTTTATTAAATATATTCATTTTTCCATCACACCTTCCAATGTTTATATGGCGTGCACACATATTAACCTTGCAAGGTCAAAGTTCTGTTTTATGTTATATTAATACATCTTTCTTTGTTTGAGTTACCTGGGGGTTGGTGTCTCCTCCTGTCTGGCAAAAGGTGTGGCAAAGGGCTGGGAGACCTGAAGTACTGCTGACAGCCTAATTGGATTGCACCACATGCTTCATTGCCTGGGGGGTGTTTCATGTTTGTTTAAATGTTTTGTATTAGTTGGTTATATGGCAGCCATCTTGTTTTCCCCCGTGTGTGTCATTTGGTTTAGCTAAACCAGTATTTAAGTCCCCCTGTGTGTCATTTCAGCAGGTCAGTTTACCATATGTTTGTTTGAGGTTTTGGTAATTATGATCTTGAGTTTAGTCTGTTGAGTTGACCTCTTTTATTGGTCTGCCTGTTTAAGTTTTGGCTTTGTTAAATATATTTTCATATTTTTGGGTCAATAAAACCCGTTTTTTGAATTAAAACCACCGGTGTCCTTTATGCTTTACTGCTTGGTCCCTGACACCAGTGTTGGTCAAGTTACCTGAAAAAAGTAATCAGTAACTAATTACTGATTACTTCCCCCCAAAAGTAATCCCGTTACTTTACTGATTACTTATTTTCAAAAGTAATTAATTACTTAGTTACTTTTTAAAAACACGATTTACAACCTGAATAGGTAATAAAGTGATAGATCTTTCAGCCCAATTCTACTTTTTCTACATAATCCATCATACAAAATGTAATCAAATGGAAAAGTCTCCTTTTTTTAACTTGTGAATTTCCCATTACGTCGTAGCGCACTCGGTGCTTGCTTGGAAGTTTAGGGTTTTTTTCGCTATAAAAAGAAGTTTTCTTCCCACTCACAACGGACACTAATGTTTTTGTCACTTTTTACGGAATCAAACTCAAAGTAAGGTCAGTACTTCCACGCTTTAAACGCTGCATGCTCATACTCTCTCCCGTACTCGATATATTATCCATTGTTGATCTGCACACAGCTGTTGTCACGAACGTCGCACTCGCTTACGTCATTGTCATGAGACATTATCGCAAAAAAATCACGGTTTTAGTAACGCAGTAATGCAGCGTTCCTACAGGAAAGTAACAGTAATCTAATTACCGTTTTTGCGAGAGTAATCCCTTACTTTACTCGTTACTTTAAAACAGTAACGGGTTACTGCCCATCTCTGCTTGTGACACATTAATAAGTCTCTAACAGACTATAATATTTTTGCTGTCATTTAACGGTATGCGCTAGGTGTAAGTTTCTTTTCTCTGTATTTCAGCATGTTTGAAAACTTTCTCCACTTGTGGTATTTATGTGATGTTTGCAAAATCAGTGCCAGTAACACAATCAGCTGTACTGAAAGACTACTGGGGCACAAACATACCTCTAAATAAGGAGGCAGATGCTAAAAACAGCTTTTATTTTCAATATTTGAAGAGTGATTATTATTATTATTATTATTATTTCCAGTATACAGGAGTTCTCTCCTACTCGCCTGATAGCCTGCATCATCTGCGTTTGTTTGGCATTTCAAGCTGCAACCTGAAGATGGCAGCGATGGACATTTTGCAGCAAGTCAATGTGTGGGTGGTGTGCTTTGTAAAATTAAATTCTTAAATCTGAACTTGTTTCTAATCATCTTCAGTGACTAAAACCCTCAAGGAAAAAAGTTTGAAAGTAAAATGTTAATTCCACATGGAAACATTTCTTTATAAAGAACATTACCACAAACAGACATTTACTATTTTATCCAACTGGAAGCCTCTCCTTTTATATACAGGGCTCAAAGAAAATGGGAACACTTTTTAATCAGAGTTCAGCATTGAGCCAATTAAACTTGTGGATTATTGACCTGGTTGGTTAGGTAGTAGAAGTTTTTTTTTTTTTAATCTGTTTAAGCTGCTTTGGTGCAATAGAGAGACAACAGTGAGACAACCACCAGAACAGGAATGGTTTTACAGGCGGAGGCCAATGAGTCTTTTTTCCTCCTCATCTTTTCTGACTGCTTTTTGTTTTTACTAGTTTTGCATTTGGTTAGGCTCAATGTCACTGCTGGGGTTATGAGATGATACCTGGAGTTTATATAAATAGTCCAACTCCTCCAGGATGGCACATCAACAATACTTGCCATTGCCAGAAGGTTTGCTGTGTCTCAGCACAGTCTCAAGAGCTTAGAGGAGATTCCAGGTGACAGGCAGTTAGTCTAGGAATGTCATGGATCGCTGTGTGGCAGGCAGGATGAGGACCCAATCGCAAAACTCACACACACGGGGATGAACTCAAAAAACACAGCTTTATTGCTGGCCACGAGAAACAATACAAAATAAACTAAACTGGGAAAACTAAAGCACAAGGAGAGAGAAACAGGGAAATCCACACAGCATGAGGGAGAACACGACGCCGAACAGAGGGAGACGCAGACAGAAATACACAGAGGGTTAACGAGGAAAGTGGGAACACACGGGGAACACAGGTGACACTGATAATCATAACGAGACAGGGCGGGGTGAACTGAACATGACATGTACAGGCGTGAGAGTCACAAAGTAAACAGGAAGTGCACAGAGGTTCAGACAGGAGGAGAGAGAGCACGGGGAAAACACAGACATAACGGGCTGGGGAAACATGAAACAACCACAAAGGGAGACGAGGGCTCATAAATACATAGAGGGCACACAGGGGGAAGAGAGAGCACGGGGAGAACTTAGACATAATGGGCAGGGGAAACATGGAATAAAACATAAGGAGAGACGAGGGCTCACAGATACACAGAGGGGCACACAGGGGGTAAAAGCCATGAAGGGAAAACACTTAGGGAACAACACAACAGGGCAACTCAGAAAACATGGCCTAAGCAAGGAACAAAATACAAAAATACAAGGAACTAAGAATACTGGGCCCACATGGCCCAGGACCATGACAAGGAAAGCTGGATAGGGTTGTAGAAGGCCCTTAGACCATCAGCAGGATGGTATCTACTCCTTTGTGCAAGGAAGAATGGTATGAGCACTACAAGAGCAAGAATATGACTTCAAAATCAGATACAAACTTCATAACAAGCAGTGTAGACTGGGCACAGTGCTCACTCTGGAGCCCAAGTAGCATTTGAGATAGAATACCAGATTTGAAAGGTCCAACACTGGCCACCCAGCGGTCATAGGAGTCATATCCATGGAGCCACACACAGACACCCTACAGACTAGGCAACAGGACTCTACTGTTAGGTATCAGGATGGACCTATTTTTAGATTCTACTCTCATGTAGTAGGTCCCGAGTTCCCCCTGGTGCACATCAATGCCTGGCCTTGTGGCAGCCTGTAAAAGACAGTTACAGTTCATGGCGGATGAAGGAATTGATATCACTGACTAGGGATGGGTATCGTGTAGGTTTTATCTGACACCGGTGCCAAACCGGTATTTTTGAAATGGTGCCGGTGCTTAAACGGTGCTCGAACCGGTGCTTAAAGAATGGAGAACACAAACTTTGTCCAAAAGCCTCTCATGTTTAGCTGTTTTTTTTTTAAAAAAGATAACAATGTTAGCCTTTCCTGCAAATATAGGGCATGTATGGTATCGTTCTTGGCTGGAAGCAGTGCTTAAACAATGGAAAAAACACAAACTTTGTCCAAAAACCTCTCATGTTTAGCTGTTTCCCCGTTTTCTTTGGTCATTTTAGCCTTTTTTGGCCAGGGTGAGGGGAGTATCTGGCATCAAACAAGAAGACAGCCACATGTAACTACAACGGTGTTTGCTAGTTCACCTTACATGCATTAATTTAATAATGTGGTTAGCCTACTCAACGTAAATACTTGGGTTGCAGTCACGTGGTTCTGATGACGTGCGGAGGCAGCGCGATTTTTGAGTGGAGGGCGGAAGTAAACATGGAGGACACTGTGGAGAGTCAGGAGAGCAGCTATTGTGCAACTTTAGACCCCGTTTCTCGGGAGAGATATAAACAGATAGTTAAAAAATATATCGGACGTGATCCGTATTCTTTGAAAATGTCCGAATACACCACAGAAGTAAAGGATTTGCCTACTATCGACGCTGTGGATATCACCAACTACTTGGTCCTCCAGACTTCTTACTACACTAGGGAGCAAATGAAAGCTTTCAAGAGTCTGGAGGCGTACAATTTTTTTGTCAGCGGGTGGGTCCACAACCTTGGAACAAAACGTCTCCGTGATGGATACAGTTTGGTGTTTGCAAGGGTGAGTGTTTGTTCTTATATTGCTTTATCTTAAACACGCTAACAGTTAGCGTTAGCGGCTTTAACGTCAACAAACATGCCAAATCCTTAGGACTTCGTTAGAGTGACAGTTGTTTGTTTCAAGGTAAACCATTCTCAGAGGTCTAACGAGACACCTCTGAAGACTTGGGTAATTGCAAAGGAGGATGGAGAAGTGATTGCAGCCCATTGCAATTGTATGGCAGGGTTAGTAGCCTAATTAAGTAGGATGTTATTGCAATGAGAACACACACATACACACACACACACACACACATATACGCATAGGGCACTGCTAGCATTTTGCAGGTGTACTTCAGTAGTAGTGGGGAGAGAGTGTTTTCTTTTAGCTAAGAATTCATCAGCTAAGAATTTGTGTGATTGCCTTAGATCCCTCATGACACTCAGATGCATTTTTCAGATAGAGGGTAGAACTATTCAGTCATGTCATCACCTAGATAATGATTTCTCTATAGGCTGTTGAGAAAGAGTTAATGAATAAACATGTTACTTCAAATAAAGTGCCATTGCACATTAGTATTAGTAAGCTATGCATCATCAAAATGTACTGTAAATATTGCATTTCATGTTAAAAAGATTATGTGCTCTATTTCCAGACTATCAGAATCATGCTCGCACGTTGGAGCTGTTCTTTTTGCAGTTGAAGCTGGGGTGAAAATGAGAGCGACATGCACATCAGAGCAGTGCAAGTGGCTGATGCCATCTCATGTTAAAAAGGTAAGCCAAAAAGCAAAATGTAGGATAAAGAATGTTATATTGGGACTTCATGTGACAGTAGGATAAAATATCTTCCCCTATACTGCTACCTTGTCGTGGTGGGGAAGCTTGAGTGCCTCAATGACCCTGTAGGCTATACCGGCGGGGGCTTCAAGCTCCTAGTAGATCTAATCAAGCCGGGCATATATAGCGTTTTGGAAAAGAGCTTTTTAAATTTTAATGATCTTCTTTGGCTTAATTTTTCCAGATTCCTGCTTGCCCAGTAACTCTGATTGACTTCTCTTCAGCAAAGTCAAAAAAACGAAAGCTTGAGTGTTCCATTGATGGCTGCACAAGTACACAAAAGGTTGGGAAATCACTTCCATGCCCAAGAGTGCAGAGAGATTCAGAGACATACTGTAGGTTTTTTGAGAGTTTAAGCAAAAACTGTCCAAGGAGTGCAGCACTGATGTCTAGGGAACCTTACCACAAAGAATTTGTCCCCCAGTCTAGCATGCTTCCTAAAACTGTGCCTGAGTACAGAACACCAGAGACACTGCAGCTCCCCCCCAAAGACCTTGAAGAGCTATGCCTGGACTTCCAGCTTGAAGAGCTCACCCTGTCCCAAGTCCAGGCTGTAGAGAGGGCGACTCGAAGTCAGAGTGCAAGCAGTATTTGGTTTAGGCAAAGAGCTGGACGCGTAACTGCCTCTAAGCTGAAACAAGTTCTTAAGACCAACCCCCAGCAACCATCAAAGAGCTTGATCAAGGCCATATGCTATCCAGAGGCATATAGGTTCACCACAGCTGCTACAAGGTATTTAGGGTTTGATGTAGGGTAAGGCAGAGTTAAGATTTGGGGTATGAAACTGTCCATAACTGTAACTAAAAAAGTGTTATGAAGATGGAGGTTAGTTATAGGCTTATACGGCTAGGGTTATACAGGGTAAGAACTAAGTATAGTTTAGGGTAATGGCATATTGTATAATACATCACTTTACTGTTTTACACATCCAATACTAAGTAATAATTTCCTTTTCATGTTTGGCATGTGTACTGTTTATAGTTATGGATGCAAACATGAAGCACAAGCCAGAGGAGCATATGAGAAGCTTATGAGCCAGGAGCATGCAGGCTTCTCATGTATGGACAGCGGTCTCTGGCTGAACCCCAAGTGGCCATACATGGGGTCCACCCCTGATGGGATAGTCACTTGTGATTGTCATGGAACTGGCATCTGCGAGATTAAGGTATTGACTCTGTTGTAGTCAAGGCCATAGGTGTGACATCTTTCCATAAGAATCAGTGAACTGAGTAAAAATGCAGGAAATACCTTTTCTAATTTCTAATCTATTGTTCAATTAAGATAAGATGAGGCTTTATTGTCTGTCTCAAATAGACATTTGTTTTGGGCAATGAGAGATTATGATAACACAGACCACACCCATCATCTTTGCTTCTTCACTGTTTCATCAGATAAATCTTGATTGTTGTTCTCATCACTGTGATTTTAGTGCCCACACTCTCAGAGAGATGCGGTCAACCTGCGCATGCGTGCTGGGGAGAAGGGCTTCTGCCTCATCAGTGACGGGGATAATGTCACACTGGACCCAACTCATGACTACTATTACCAAATTCAGGCACAGCTTCACATTGCAAATGCAGAGTACTGTGACTTTGTTGTGTGGAACCGCAATGACATATTTGTTGAAAGGATTTTGCCTGACCTTGAGTTTTGGGATGATGCGATTCCTAAAGTTGAGTGTTTTTTTAGAAACAGTATACTCCCAGAAATACTGGGACAGCAAGTTACAAACATACATGTGTAATGTGATAAAAGGACGACAACATAATGACATTTTGAATATTGTTATGACCTGATGGTAGTCATTATGAGTTCTGGCTATTGTATTTGCTCTGACGTAGCATTAGAGCACAGATTGTCATTTAATTTTATTGTACATTTAATTGTGTCATTTAAGTGTTGTGTAACACTACACAATGATTAAATGCTATTGAGGCAGCATAATAATACATTGGTGGTTTATTTACAAGATTAGACTTTTAAACAAATAAACAAAATAGATTGCAATCCATCTCACAGTATAATACTGTACAAACTGCCAGCACAATATGACAGTTGGAGAAAAATATTTCATTTGAAAACATTTACAGACTAATCAGGAGTCAGGACTTAGGTACTACTATTACTCTACCCTGTTCTACTTATCACCAGAGCCAAGCAGCAGATACTGGACACTACTCTTCCTCTCCACCCCCGTCTGTGAGCCGTGACAGTGACAAGACATTTAATTTTTTTTAACTGATTGATTACCACCCACCCCCCTTACTCCAGTGGGACAACAGACTCGGAGAGATTTGATAAGGCACAACAAATTACCCCAATCTTGTCGATCAATGCATGTGTCTCACCTGGCTTTGTGGACATGTTCTCTATTGGCATAGCCCTGCTCTGCAGAATTTGATATTTCCTCCTGACTAAACCTATGACTCGCTCAACATGGATACGCAAATTGGCTATTTTCCTTGTCTCTGCCACTTCATAGGCTGACAGCTGTTTTCTCCCTTTAGTGAATGCCGGTGTCTGTAGTGAAGCACAGTAAAACCCCACATTATCGCCAATATTGAACCCACGATCTGCAAGGACAATATCTCCAGGTAACAAGTTCTTTAGGAGGCCACTCTCTATTGTGATCTGCTTATCGCTAATTCTCCCTCCCCAGGCAGAAGATATGTAAGTGACGTAGCCTTGGGGGGCAACACCAATCAAAAATTTTACAGTGTGATGGTGCTTGTAGTTGGACCAAGTTTGAGCTTGTGCAAGAAGATTAGATGGTCTCTCAATAAAGACTTCAAAGCAATCAACAATCACAGCCACTTTACATCCAAATGCCTGTCTGAAACTCAGTGGCATCGTAGCTTGAAGAACATGTCGCTCTGGCCACTCAATTAGGAACTCTAACCTTTTATGAAGTATGTCAATTACTTTATGCCAAACTCTAGAAGCAGTGGACAGAGAAATATTGAACCTGAAAGCTAAATCTTTCAGGGGCAGATTTAGTCTCAGCCTCAGCAAAACTAGTATGAATTGTTCAAATTTGGACAACAAAGACATAGGTCCCGAGGTGATATAGGGCTCGCACAGTTCAAAAATCCGAATTAAAACTAAGAAGTTGGGGAGCCCTGTGTAGAACTTTGTCTTGTCTTCATTTTTTTCAAAAGCCTCCTGGCTGAACTGTGTGTCCAGAGCCTTGCTCCGAAGATCAACCAGCTCTGCTGTGTTCTGTCTCAAAACATCCTCCATCTTCTCGATGTCATCCATCGTCAGCTCTGTCTGGCATCCAGCATCCGCACAGCCTGCAATATAACAGTGGGGGAGCATAATCAGCATAATAGAGGCAACCTCAATTTTTACTCATTTTCACTGTAGGAGTTTTTTAGTGGGCTATTAGAATCTGGTGTAATGTGTTTAATTCACTATGTTAATTTAATGTAATTATTTTTTTTAATCAACAAAAAAACATGTTGCGTCTAAACAAAAAATATATTTATATGTTTCTCACCACAGAAACCTTACATTACGGATATCTTTACTTATCTGTGAAAGGAGACTGTCTGGAATCTGGCAATATAAGAACCACAGCAGTGTACAAAAACCTGTGGTGTGTGCCTGACGGTAATAAGTGCCACTTTTTCTTTTTTTCTGAATAAAATGGTATGGATTTACTCTGTGATTAAAAAATCACAAACATGTAATATGTAACTTGGACCATAATCATTACAGATAATGGCATCTTTTTCTCTTTGACATGATTCTTGTTTGTTTTACATCTCAGCACAATATCTTACCTGGATAAGTGAATGTCTCATTCACACTGAAGTCTTCTGGTTGTGGATTCTCAGCTGGAAGCTGCAGTTCGGGGTTCTCCACTGTCACTAGGCTCAAATCCGGGCTCTCAGCCGTCTGTTGCATATCCAAAATCGCCTCTGCACATCGATGCTGTTCTGCCTTAAGCTTCATTCTTTTATCTCGTTTGAGAACTGATTCCGATCTGGGTTTTCGTTCGTAGCCGAGATTGACCGTCGGAGCCCAGTCCTCCGACTCTTCGTCATCCAAAGCACTTGGGCAGCCTATAGTCCCAATCAAGTCAATATTAGACTACTAACTTAAAAGCACTAAGTAAACGAGAATTTAACGACAACATAATGCTAATAAGTTCGTTTGCAAACATAACATTACCTCTGACGAAGTGGTCGCTGCAGACACGGGCATTGGCAGACTCTGCTCCTCCCGACTGTAAACGTAAATTTAAAATCCATTTTTTCCTACGTTTTTCGGTTAGAATTTTCCATTTTTCTCCTCTTCGTTGGGCTATTTTTGGTACCCTAAAATACCGTTTATCAGTTTCTGGGGTCGACCTACTGGAGCATCCGTAAACACAACAGGACAAAGGCATTTTGCGTACTGTCTGTCTGTGATTTTGCGCTGATCTTTTTCACTTCCGCCCTCCAGTCAAATTTCGCGCTTTACGTCGACGTCACGTCTACGTCAAATGAAACCCAGCTATTACACACGGACAACATTAAGCTACTCGCCCAGAAAAGAACGGCTGCTGCTGCCATCATCATTCATCATCATTTCTGCTAAACTGGCAGGGCTAGGGGCCAGGACTCTCCTCTTCGGGTTCTCGGGGGATGTTGCTAACTCCGGGTCCGATAACAGGCACCACACCCACAGTAGATGTGTTGGTGTGAGGTCTCGCAGCAAGCTATCAAATACGGTGCATTTCTCGGCTTTTAACAAAACGCTATACGTCGCCAGGTTCGTCATCAGATTCGAGGTGTTACCTCCTTTGCACAGTATCACAGTATCACCATAAAGCACTTGTTGCAGGCTGCTGAGTTTGCATCTTTTGCTCTGAAGTACAGCCAGACTTTTGACTGCTTCGCCTTGGGCATTTTTACTTTGTAGCTCTGCTCTAAAAGAACATATGTACCTGGGCTCGCCTACTATCCTTGCAAAGGTAAAATGATTGGCTAGAATCCAAAGTGTATGACATCTCAGCAAAAAATGCCATCCCTACCACTGACTGCTCCCTCACCTGACCTACATCCAATAGAACTCCTCTGGGACGTTATGTTTCGATCCATCCGATGGCACCAGGCTGCACCTCAGTCTGTCAAGGAGCTCAGTGATTCCCTGGTCCAGCTTGGGAGAAAATCCTTACAGCACTATACATCATCTGACTAGAAGCATGCCCTGACATTATCAGGCATCATTTTGTTGCATCACTTTGATTTCAGGGGTCTTTTTGAAATTCAGCCCACTGACGGTTGATCTTCATACATCCTTTTGTTCTTAAGACATTACCCAGTCAACACCAGTGCAGATACCCTGGATGATTTTTTTCCCATTGAAATCATTGATTTGTTGTTTTTTTTAAACAAAGTATATAGAACCAGCTTTCCAAAGAAATTGAAGACTGAAAGTACAAAACAAACCTCTCTGCATTGAATCATACTTGTTATCAATCTCTGGCTCTCTTCCTTTCTTTTATCCTGTCTTCCTCCTCTCGCCCTAACCAGTTGAGGCAGATGGAAGCCCCACCCTGAGACTGGTTCTTCTGGAGGCTTCTTCCTGTTATAAGAAAGTGTTTCCTTCCCACTGTTGCCAAAATGCTTGCTCACAGGGGATCATATGGTTATTGGGTCTTTCTCCGTATGTATTATTGTAGGGTCTACGTTACAATATAAAGCACCTTGAGGCGACTGTTGTTGTAGTTCGGCACTGTATAAATCAAATTAAATTGAATAAAATTGAATTATTAACATCTTTATGTTCCATCAGGTAATGACAATAAAGAATATAATGCAAGCAGGAGCTACTGAAGGGGTAGCTTCCGCCACCATGGACGAAAATGATTGTGTCAGAATGCCATTTAAGCTGTCCATTAGTGAAGACATATAATACAATAAACTCTTAATTGTTTTAAAATCTATCTGCCTATGTTAAAATAACCAACACATTGTTGTGGTTTGAAGTGTTGTAGTATCATGATAGATTTATTTATAGCACAGAACATAAAGCAAAAGCTGAATAACATTTAAAATGAAGTTAAACTGAAAGTACTTATTTGAAAAAAAAAAAAACTAAATAAAAAGAATGATATCTAACTATATGAGTATATACTTACACCAGTATTTACATTGTCCTTCATTAAAAGCATCAGTATTCATATTTTTTCATTTATACTTATATTTGTAAAATTGATCATTGGTTGTTATAATAGTACTACTACTACTACTACTACTACTAATAATAATAATAATAATAACTGTGTCCCTTTCCCCCTTAATAATAACTGTGTCCCTTTCCCCCTTGATGCGTTTTTTCTTCAGTGCAGCTGTTAGAAGAATACACTTAGCATACTCTTAGAAGAGTTCACGCTCCAGCACTAACAGTCATCTAGACTTCTTCTCTTTGGATGAAGCTTAACTCTCCATTTCACCTCCCAGTAACGCACACGTTGCTGCTGCTTCAGTCTCTCGGGATGATCAGGACACAGCTCATCCACTCACATACACTGTCACCATTGCCAAGATCATCATTCCCAGCTGTAAATCAGAGAAGAACCGGAGATTAATATTTTGTTTACGGAAACTCAGTTTATTCGCTTTGTTGATGAAGCACCTCCAGTAAAACATGCAGCAGAGGAGCAAATGTGCGGTGTAACCGCTGTCCTCTCAGCTCTCATGTTAAGATGTTGGAGTGAATATATTGAACTTCACACAGAATTTCTACATCAAGTTTGTTTCACTCAAATTCACAGTGGAAATGAACCGATGAGAATCTTTAATACTTCATTGCACTTTAATGATGAGATTCTTGCTGTTTAAATGAAACAAAGAGTTTCTGTGCATTAATGAACATCTCATCAGCTAATAAATAAACATGCAGGCTCTCACTGAATATATCTAGATGAAGCCACTGACGGGGAAAAAAATGCAAATGCAACTCTGAACTTCAAAAGAACTTCTGCTCTGTATGAAGACTAGATGCAGATACTAGATTATTAAATGTAACAGTGGTTCTCTGAACAACAGTCCGCAGATTTATGCTCCCACACTCTGATGAATGAGAACCTGTTTCTTTAAATCTTATAAGACTGTCAGCTACAATCCAAGTTTATATCCTTAGACTTGAACACAAAAACAGCAATCATCTTTACAACAACTCAAACACATGCTCACAACAAAAGCTACAGTAGGCTGCAAAACCGGCAGAGGGAGATATTTAATGTCAAGCCATCATCATCATCATTTTTATTTATAAAGAACCTTAAAACAAACATAGCTGATGCTAAGTGCTATAGATTGGAACTAAATAATAACATTTACACAAGATATAAATGAAAGCCAAATAAAGGAAAAAAGTAAAATAATTAATTAGTTAGTTAATAACTAATTTAATTCAAAGCCAACACTTGGATGATAGAGATTTACAAGAAAATTTTGATTATATATGTGTTGACCTTTCATAATAACTGTGTTTAGTACAATACCAATCAACCTTTACTAACCTTGGGGTATCCAGTTTATAGTGTAGACTCCTCACAAGTTTAGAGAGTTGCTTAACGTCTGAATCCTGCAGGTTGTTGTCACTCAGGTTCAGGATTCTTAGATGTGAAGGACTGGACCTCAGAGCAGAAACCAGTGCAGCACAGCTGATCACTGACAAATTGCAGCTCCTCAGACTGGATAAACAATAAAACATCTACATATAATCAGTGATAAATTATATCAAATGTGTTCAGGTTACTTCCCCAATTTTTGTCGTATGTAAACTGTACTGCACGTGGGAAAAGCTACTGAATAAAGTCTACTCCAACATTAAACAAGGATACAGCACCATAACAACAACCCACCTGTGCTAGTTGGACCAAATATCCTTGTTTATGTTACCAGCCTGCCTACCAGAAGGAGTACACCACATCTATACTCTGCTATATCTAGTACTGCACAGACACCATCACCACGGCATCTGGGTGTATGCCAACCAAAGGTTTGGAAGGCAAGTGCAGTTAGGACCCTGTTGAGGAACAGAAACACTGCCTTCAAGTCTGGTCATGTGGAACTGTACAGTTC